CAATTGAATGCTGTTGGGGAATACACAAAACATACGGGTCAAAAACTCAATGAAAAGCAAAGTACTGATGAAGTTTGGACACTCTTGTGGTGGGGCGTATGCCGACCCGGACCTGATGCCGATGGGGGGTGTGGGGATCCCCCACGTTTTGGTTTACCTTCTAAAATCAACTACAGCCAAGGAAAGCGAAAAGACAAGGGAGTCAGAAAGAGAGCACTGACTCGGAGTTTCGCTAAACCTTGATGGAAGCTTTTTGGTCGGAGCGTGTCTGCCGAGGTGGACATCCGTGCAGCGATTGGAGACCTTGTGGAAGGAAAGCTCCGTGTCCCTTCTTGGCTGACGTCGATTGAGCCCATCCGCTGATGTCACCTGTTGCTTCTTTTGCAGGTATGGCTTCCCAGCTGCGGGACGAGGCGGCATGTTTGTAGGTAGGGCTTCCAAGCTCCATTGTATCATCGCTGCAAACATCTTTCCACCTTCTTCGCTTGGGTCATTGCACCACAATCTCGCTGACGTCACTATTTGTCCAACACCGAAAACCACAGTCATATCACCTCGGCACTGTGCTTTGGATTGTTGCCCGTGCAAAAGTGCAGAAAAGTTTCTAGACTTCTCTTTTGAGGGTTGGTTTATCATATATTTTTGCCGTCACGAGCTTAGTTGACTCGACATGTTAAAGGGTTCCCTTTTCGGGTTTGACACCACCATTGAGGATGTCAAAATTCCGGAAGAGCAGGCAGAGTCAAACGACAATTCCTCCTACACAGGTCCCGACGATCCGTTCTTCATCGGCGCCGGCGTTCGCGGCCCCCGCGCGCCACCTGGAGGCCTGCCTCAGTAAGTCGCGGCTCTTCCTCTCGCATCTCTAGTTCTCTGCCGACGGCCCGTTGGTTTTACGCCAGTCTAGTTTTCTGTCACCGGAAAGCTCTCGGAGGAGAAGGTCTGGCCGGTTCCGAGCGCGCTTTTGGAGACGGTATGAAAAAGCTGAGTTAACACGAGGAATCTTTACAGAGGATAGCGTATTGGCGGTTTTATCTTCTCATGCGCCGGCCAAGAAAAATCCAACGTTGGTTGCTCATCTCGCTGGAGCAACATGTCTTCCCACCGATAGCATTCCTCTTCGGCAGACCGAGTCATCCCGCGAACGCTTCTTATCTGCTGCAATCTCCATTTCCCAGTAACTGCTTTGGGACAATGTTGTGACTGCGCGTCTCTCGTCTTTCCAGGGGAGTCCCTCCGGGGGCTCGCTTCGACCCGTACGGCCCCCCTGTACCGGGCTTCGAACCGGGGCGCTTCGGGTAAGCTTTTCTTCCTTCCCTTTACAGCTTCTCCCGAGCAATTTGCCAGTTTTAGGGCAAACCAATCTAGACAAAGATCACTCAGCAGCAGATTCACTAAGTTCAACTAATTTTCTCACACTAGATGTGGAAGGCTGCTCGGGAGAAGATGTAGCAGGGGTCTATACTGTGCATCAACGAAACGTGCGCCGATTTACTGCCACTTTGGAAACCTGAAGACAGCTTAGCTATGCTGCTTCGCTTATCTTGAAAAGGAGAGTTTTACCTTAGAAGCCCTCGACGTCTGAAGGCAGCTCATGGTGTTTCAAAATGCAGCACATCTGCATGCATGGGCTTTATCTGCTTTGCATCCAGCCGTCTTATGGCGCTGATCCGTGATTCTACTGCGCTCTGGCCCTGATTTAGTGTGCTTGAGCGCAGAGAAGGACTGATTATCTCATTGGTTACTTCCTTTATGCTAGAATACAATCGTAACAAAGCGGGGGCTTGTGAGCTTGTTCGCGTGCTGAAGCGGAGATAGAGTACTGACTATCTGCTCGTTTGTTCGCAGGCAAGGATCTGGAGGCAGATTACACCCCGACCTTGAACAACCACCTCCATAGGATCCTCTACCCCGAGAGGATCGTCGAGGCACGCTTGAGAAATAGTAGCTAAAACAGTTGTGAATATGCTCTGAAAAAGCAGTGCAGTGTTATCATAGATTGTAAAGTAGCTCCTTGCTTTGCGAGTGTACAGGAAGTTTGAGAATCGTGATACGAGATGATTTGAGGAGAGTCAGGCTATAGCTAATGGTTGGTCCACAGGTGCAACTAGGTTTCTTTGGGAAGTGACATTCAATGGCTAGAGATCAGATCGGTTGCAGAAAGCGACTTTGCCTTCAGGCGCTCGCTTTCAACGGCGACTGTGCATGTATACTCGCTTTCATATTGGTCATGCGCATGCTGAAGCACGTTGGGTCATAGCGTATCATGCTTGAGGTCTATACTTCAATTTGAAAGTTGGCCAACCTTCGGTACTAATGGACGTAGCGGGCGGCGGCGGCGGCGGGGGCGGCGGATGCAGCTGCATAAGTTACCTCAGCGCGAGCCAAGTCGGAATTGCTGGCACTTGCGCAACTTCAACATATAGAACACACGGGCAGCCATTGCGCATAAACGTAGAAAGACTTGCGCAGAAATTCCGTTTTGTACAGGTACTAGTAAGGTCCGTGCATCATAAAATACCATGCATGCATATGAGCATGCAAAAATTTCGAAGTATACGTAGGCGCGTTAGTTTCTGCTTAATTGAATGTGAAAGCTAGATCTAGTCGGCCTTAACCTTATGGCCCCGGTCCGATGTGCATCAGTGCACCGTGCGACGACGTCGGCTTATGCATCAAGGATCGGAACGCGGCAGACTTGCTGCACAATCATGCCGCGGTGTATACAACGTACCATGCAGTGAGTTCAATGTTTTCTATTTATGCATAGAAGCTCTCAGTTGCAATTTTATCTCGCTCTACTATATTCATCGACAGCTCCATGAAATCAAATCTGCAGTGCAATAATTTAGCTCCAGCCATGATGTCATGCGTTGCGGCTGATGATGAGTATGTGTACAATCACCTTTCACAATCATGGTATACATTATTGAATGTGGATGTACCGCTGGTGCAGATCTTGAATATCAAGCTGCAAACAATTCGATCATGTGCAGAGCGTTGAGACCCCACTTGTTGCCCCAGACCGAGACCGTTTGACTTCGCCCAAGCAGAACTGTAGAAAGGTGACCTCAATTCTGCATACCTAAGTGCCTGCGAAAACCAAGTCAACTTATTTTGCCGTCAGTCTGGCCATGTGGCCTCATCTCCGTTCACCAAATGCGGAGGAAATCAATGCAAATGCAATGCCCCTGAACAACCCAACAATGGACGATGCGTCGATGATTATACACAAGCACATGCGGGCTACCTTACACCTTGCACTTTAGGTCCCCTGTACAATCCCCTTTCGATGACGAAGTCGTCCGGTGGAGAGAACTCTTCTAGCCAGATGGATTCGTCCGTAACGGCCGATGATTTGTGGTCTCGCTTGCCCACCATCGCTGCAGGAAAAGGAACGACGTGATTTCCGTTGCTTTACTTGCCAACGCCGATTGCGAAGCACAGAGTTGACAACATGACGAGGTTGCGAGTCAATACGTCTGGACGAGTTTCTCCTTGTGCCGAGCCCCAGCAGCATCTCGCAGCTCCAAGAAAAAGCGAGCAACCTGACCAGCAAAGCCGCCTTCGAAACTCAGCCGTAACGATCGTTAAAGCAAACCTACAACGTTTCTTCACCAGATCTCGACTTCGTCGGCAATCCTGACACTCGGATTTTTCCTTTGCCCTCATCAAAAAGACGATTATATGCGGAAGGGCGCCGAGATTGACTGTTTCAACCATCCTGACTTGGCCGTGAAGCGGGAAGCCTAAAACCGTAAGTCTCTTGAAAGAGCCGCCGCTGACCAAATCAAATGCTGACCAGTACATACGAGGCACGACACCCCTCTCCTCCCCCGCTCCGGAAGAGAATGGCCACCTTACTCGGGTTCTATGCCAAGTTCAGGTGCCGGGTCATCTGGTTAACCAGCTCCGACTTTTGCCCTCGTGTCAGACACAAGTGGGGTCAAATGTTGTGCTCAAATTGACACTCTTTCTGGGGTTCTAGTTGAACCCAAGTTTGTGGTTTAGGGGAGACCGGCCGACAAGAGTTGGGTAATGATTAGCATAGCCTAGTGCGACGGACCGTCCGTACCGTCTGAGTCCCCTGACGTAGGTTAAACTGGCGTACTTCTCTGCCGTTGGTTTGGAAGCTGGACGGTGTCAATGTTCTGAGGTTTTGATCTAGGGTGGGGTGCGCTTTGAATCATTTAACTTTGCGGTCAAGGAAGTCAATGGTAAAGGGTTTCGACCAGTCAGAGAACGAATAAAATGTGTCATTACCGGGCGTACTCGAGATGATAATAAGGTGTCAAAAGAGGACCCTCCCCCCCCCAAAAAGAGACGCGCCCACTCACCAGGCACTGGCGTTTCTCTGTAGTAGGTACAGTGCCGGCCCGATTCCGGGTCGTAAGGGGGGGCCACCACGTCGAGGACGGCGCAGGGGGTGACGCCGGTGAACGCGTGGATGTTCCCCCCCGAAGTGGGGTACAAAACCAGGGCGTCGCAGGGGGCTGAGAGGACTTCGTCGCAAACTAACACGGCGTTTCGTCCTGGGGGGGAAAGGAAAATGAATTTGGTCCTCCACAGAAGCGGTCAGAGAGTGTGCCTTGTGCGCCTTAATGCGAGTTGCTTCTGCGTTCGTCGTTGATAAAGACGGCTTTCGTCCTGGGGGCGAAGGGAATCGCAACGCAATCTCCAAAGAAGCGGTCAGGAAGTGTGCCTTGTGCGCTTCACACCTTGTTGCTTCTGCACTCGTCGTTGATAAAGACGGCGTTTCGTCCTGGGGCGGAAGGGAAACGCAATGCAATCTCCGAAGAAGCGGTCAGGAAGTATGCCTTCTGCGCTTTTCAGCTTGTTGCTTCCGCATTTGTCGTTTGACTAACACGGCGTTTCGTCCCGGTGGGGAAGGGAGTAAGATGTGGGCTTCCGGGCTTCCAAACGAGTGGTCGAGAATTGATCCTCATGCGCTGCAACACTAGCTTATTTCTACGTTTGCGACGGCATAAACACGGCGTTTCGTCCTTTGGGGGGGGGGGAAAGAGAAGGATGTCGGCGGGTGTGGTGTCATGCAGAGAGGTGGCGAGAGTGGTGAGGTTGTTGGATGGAGCGCTTACACGTTGCTACAGAACATTGAACGTAAAGAGTCGCTAAATCGGTTTAAGGGGCCAATCCTTCGCAAAACGGCGGCACGCGGCACTCTCATGCAAGTCGCTGCGGCGTGCTTGGCAGATGCAATGTTAAAGAGATTGTCTGTAGGAGCACCCTCCATCAAATGACCCACCATTTGGGGGGCCGAGGGTGCAGCCTCCTCATCCGGCTGCTCAGTGACAAACAATCTCAGGGAATCAAGACTCTCTAAAAGGTCTGTTGCAATACCCTTTTACAAACCGCGCTAACAGATTGCGAGACGACGAAACCATCCACTCAAACCTCGATCACGAGATTTATGACAACGTCGTCAATCCACGCGACAGATACACGAAAAATACCGTCCACCGATAACCAAAGCGGATGAGAAGCTCACGGGGTGGGTGTTGGGGGCCGACCGGAGGCGCCTCCTGGTTGGCCCAGTCATAGGACCGCACGTGCATGTCGCCATATAGCAGCTTGCTCATAACCACCATTCCTGGGTGGTTATGGAGGGGGATGGAGGCGCACGTGGGGAGGCAGAAGATGCCAATCTGGGCAGCAAAAAGAAAGGTTTTTTGAAGACTCGAATTGTCAAGTACCAGGATTGTGGTTTGAAAAAAGTTTCAGGGGTGCTGTAAGATCTGTGCAGTGATTGGGAGCCTGTGTATGCACGACTGCAGGACGCACACATGGGGGCTTCAGAGCTTTCAACGTTGGAAGTGACGAGAGACTGGTACAGGTTCAGTCGCAGAATCGCAGAAAAAGCCCGTGTTTGGTTTGCCTATTCAACAGACGGTTTCTAAAGCAGTATACTTTTCCTTGTCCGCGTCACAGCCTTGGTGTTCGGAACCTCAACCAGCCTCCTATCTCCACGCGCAACCCTCCACCTCTACAGAGAAGTCCAGCCACTCAACAAAGAACTAGACGCGGGACGCCTCCACTCCGGCCAGGCGCCGCAGCAGTCCAGATGACATCGGTTTGGAATGTTCACAATTGTGAAAGGCACCCAGTCGAGCCTTGGAACCACTGGTAAACTCTTCACACCGATCACAAGCGCCAACGAAGCGTGGACGCAGGGCCGTCACTCAAGGTGGCCACGTGAGATGATCACAGAATTGCATCTTCCATACCCAATTCCGAACATGAGTACACCAAGCGGATAACAAGAGCAACGAGAGCGGCCGCACGCTCGCCGAAATGTTTTGATGCTTGTAGATGTGTTGACAGGAGATGGGCACAACATACAGATGACATGGGCAAATACAGATAGCAACAGCAACTAGAGCGGCCGCACTCTCACCGAAATGTGTTGATCTTCGTAGATGTGTTGATAGGAGATGGGCGGGGCCCATCGGGGGGGCGCCGCACTGTGGCGGCCCCAGGGCCCCTGCCGACCAAAAAACCCAAACCCGCGCGTCTCCCCATCAGTTACTGGATCTAGACCTACGTCAGCGCACGTCACTGAGTCTGCAGGAAGAGGACGTGGGCTGATGTCAGCGAAACTGGTTTTGGGTGAGAAAACATGTTGGTGGGTAGACGAGGCGATGTCAGCACGAAGCGGGTCGATGACGCAGAACGAGGTCAGCGGGCTGTGAATTGTGGGCGGAATTATGCCCGTGTGAGTTGCATTGGTGAGAAGAAGGCTCCGGAAGCGAAGAGTAGTGCACGTTAGCACGGGGGTGGCACTCCAAGGTTTGCCTGCTTGCGGCCACAATATGGCGGCGTCGTTTGCGAGAAGAGTCAGATGTCGCAGTGGCACAAAATACAATCCCCTTCTCTCCTTTGAGCGGCATCAGTTGAGTTTCATGGTTTCCATATCTCATCGCCCAATTGACCATCAAGCGCTCTCAGACGCAGACGCCTGCTAACACTGCCAAAGTCTCCAACCTCTCTGCCAATCTCAGAAGCTTCATGATTTCAAAGTGGACACCTCAAAAAGAAGTACCTACCACTCTTCAACACTGATAGGATTGGCCCCCTATATGTAGTTTCTCACAAAACGTGCTCTCTTAAAAGAATTTGGGACGACGCGGAAAGCTGCTCTAGGCTGCTTCTGAGGACCTCACAAAATGCGGAGGACAGGAGTAAGAAATATGAGATGCATGCACACTTACAAAGCAGGAGGTGGCAGTAACGCGTCTGCAAACCAGCACATAGGCCAGGACTTGAAATGCCAACGCACCCACGTAAACTAAGAAAGCTCACAACTCTGACCGTGCAAACCAGCTCCGACTGCTAGTTGCACTAGGAGACCAAACCAGTAAGTAAGCAGACAAGCTGGCACGGTCCCACTGTAAACCAGTTAAAGCTTCAATCCAGGTTTGAAATGGCCTGGCCAGACTTTGCGCACTGTGCAAGCGTTTCTCTGGTTTCAACGATGTCCAAAGGGATCTTACCAAGAGCTTCCTGTAACAACTGCAGATTCTCCTTTGAGGCGGGACCCTTGGCGCCAAAGGCTGCCCGGCAAGCGTCATACAGCTTTTGGACTTTGCTCGCCATACTTCCCGCCACCGCGGGGTGCTCAATGCCCTGTGAGCATGCAACGGCGCCCTCGTTTCAAAAGGGCGCTGTCACAGAAAGAAGACCAGAGCACACAGGTATGACTCTGCCAGCTCACAAACAATTGGTCGCCAGTGAAAATATCTGATAACAAATGAGTGCGCCTGATTGTATCTCTGCTGACGCCCTGCTCAGGGGGTCTAGCAACTTGCAAGTTGCACGCTGCAAAAACCAAGCTTTTCTGAGGCAAGTTGCAACTCTGATATCCTGCATCGTCCAGGTACACCGGCCGTACAGGTCCGGACTCTGGCTGGTTCTCCGGAGCTAAAATTCATGCGGCTGTACTTCCGGAGTTGCTCCGGATTGGTCAAGCGAGATCTACTGATTGTATGAAGATTAGGGGTTGATCCATTTCATGTGTGATATTTTATTAGCTGTACCCATACCTAGTTGAGAGCACGCGTTGAATCGGGCCGCGCTTGAATGTGGTTGGCAGTACCAACAAACCTAGGGCACGCCGTGATTATATGCACTTAGGTAGGTGCTTGTGGCCTATAGTAGCCCATCAAGTTAAATGATTCTACGGCAAATCAGAGGGGGCCTGGAAGCGCTCGACAAATTCCTCGGATTTTCTTGAGAATTGCACATGTGTGGCAATGCATTCTACTTTGCATGAAGCGAGGCGTAATAGTTAAATCTTCGAGCAATATGCTATAGGACTGTTAATTGTTGTAAGGTGCTTGGAGGTGCTCGGCTAGCCATGCATTGATATGTGCTTGCAGATATTAGCAAATCCTCGTCAACTTTGGCTTTGCTCAAGGAATAACATCCTTAGTCATAGACAGTGAACAGTGCAATTCGGTTCCAAGTTTTGCAGCTGCTAATGTTGCTTTCTTGCCATCGAGGTATGAAGGAGATGCTCTGCTCAAAAGAGCGTGCATACAGATTTGAGGGCTCAAATTACTCGCCCACATTATTACATCGAGCGGTTATCTCGAGTGGCCATCCACCCTCACTACCTGGTCCAGTATCATCCGCCCGTCTATCTTTGTCGAAATAGCAGCTGCCACCCCTCTATTGTATCCCAGATATTAGCATATGCAGCTTGCGTTTGCAATTAACATGTCAATCACGAGACAGCCAAGTCAACCCCAGCTAGAAGTAGCAAGCCCAACCAGACACTTGACTAACCACGAAAACCGGGCCCGCCCAAACCAGGGCCGAGCGAGGGACCGTTTGACACCGGACTAGTACTCCCATTACCGACGCTTTCATCGGGCCTCTTGAACATACTTTTGCTGGACACTAATCGCGGGGTAGACAGACTGCTGAGAGCCATGTTGGCGGAAAAGATCGAGGAAGGGGTCATTTCGTTGCCGCCCAGAGTGACGCCGCTGAATGCTGACGTCACGCCGTCCTCGAGCGGGAGATCTTCCAGCGTGTACGAGGCCTGCTGGAGCACCTTCAAAATCTCTTTGCACCGCCGGCGCTTCTGGGCAACCTCCTCGCGCTCTTGCAGAACCTCGTCGAACAAGGTTTCCCTGTAGGAAAGAAGAAGGAAAGTATTGTGGAGCTGTTTACATGCACCAGTCCTAACCATACAGGTTGACACAATGTAATCGACGAAGGAGCGTCGGCGAAGCTGTCTACACGCACCACTTGCATCAAACAATACCTTTCTACACTCTTTGGAAAAAGGTACGGCTTTCTCTAGCGTCGATATGTCCATCGTTACCCCAAGAAAGTGGCCAAGCTTTTTGGGACCTAAACACAGAAACACACAGACAATCCTTACCGGTATAGCTTCCTGATGAACACGCTGTGCAGCTCCCGCTTCACGTGGTTCACCTGCAAACGAGGGCGGACACACTCCTTAGAAGCTCCTGAATGCAGTCACTGCAGAACCGGGGGTCAAGCAGAAGCACTCTTTTGAGACGTTTCACTTCCTTCAAAATCGTATGAAATAGTGGCTACGGGCTCATCGACAAGTCTGGTGAGAACAGCGGCTGAACTCAAGAGGTCTGCCGCCCCAAGCTATCCGATCTAACGAGCAGTACCACCTGTCCAAAGCTGCATCAGGCTCCACGAAAGGGGGTTGATGCAGTAAGAAGCAATCAAGCAGCGCTCTCGAAAGAAGCGAGGTGCCTCACCAGGAAGTGCATGATCGCCTTCGGCACTTGGTCTTGGATGTTCTTGCGGACGATGTCGTAGTACGACTTGAGGAGGACACGTGTCACCGCGATCTCGATCGTCTCCTGCTCGGTGGCCGCATCCGCCGCTCGGAGAACTTGAGGCGGCTGCAAAAACAAAGTCCGTACTCAGAAGTCGATCGGCGTCTGATAAACGAAGGCGACGGAAAAGAGGACCAAGAGGGAAAGAAGCTGGAAGCAAGGGGGCCCCAGAAAATAATGAGAGGAGGAGCATGGCAAACGGGAATGTAGATTCATTGTCAAGACCTGGAGATAGATGCGGAATCTCCAGAAACGGGGTTGAATGGACAAGCTCTGGATTGAGCCATTGGCGTCACCTCTCGGATGGCCGAAACGGCCGACGAGGCGCTAGGGCGATTCGGAACCGCAAACGGAAGAAAATTTTGTCTGGCCGTCCTGTCTTGCAAAACGTTCATTCGAAAGATCAGCGCTCTTCCGTTCAATCGACCACAGGGAGAGAAGTGACTGCGAAACATAACCAGTGAACGCTACTCTGTCAATCTGCTTACCAAGGTCGAAAAAGGACCCTACCTCTTTCAGCCGGACGCTGACGAGCGGCTCGGACCCAATCATGGTCTCCGAGAACACCCGCGTGCTCGTGATCTCTCCCCTCGTCCGCTCCGTGTGGAAGATAGACGTGATGCCCCACCCGCCTGCGTTAAGACCGTTGCTACCTGACAAAGAAACGCGTGGAATCAGCTCAACCGCGCTGGTTGTACTTTTAAAAAGAGTTGCAGAAACGGTGCCTCTCCAAGCAGTTTCCAAGAAACAATGCAGCCAGCAACTTCTTTTGGAGAGAAGAATGCCTTTGAAAAGGCGTCCTGCTTTCTTGGCGTCATGTGACCAGAAGTTGCGACTCACTCGACGTAGAGGCCCTCTCTGCGGACGTGTTGTTTTCGCTTGATCGCCGGCTCTGCAAAATAGACGACAACTCGTGACCACACTGAAAGCCAACACTGAAAACCAAGCCCAAGCTTGTAGTACAGCGTCTAGTTTTGGCGCCAGTCACCGTGTTGGCAGCAAATATCTCGAAGCTAATTATCCTCAAGGTTTGCGCCGGTTGGAAGGTAGAAACTTCAAGAGAAGACGTCTGGAACATGAGAAAGAGAGCCCGATAACGCCCGGTGGGCTTACGAAATCGGGCGGAGGAGTTTTGGATCGAGAAAGAATGCCCCGTGCCTTTGTCCCCTTGTCCGGAACAGCCAGCCTGTCTGCTCCGGAGTCCTTCCATTCCGAAGCTTCCTGCAGATGGAAACCGAGCACGTTGAGGCGTCGTTCAAGCGAGCTTCTCCAAAACATTGAACGTAACCTTTGAACGATGATGTATTGAGCGAACCTTGTTACGAGCCATCTAAGCACAGAGGGGGAGCACAAAAGGACTGTTTAGGGATGGATGGTGACAAAAAACAAACAAGCGGATTCCAAACACAACTGTATTACGAGCTGGTTCAACGCCACTGCAATCACATGGTCGCTCGAAAAATGAGAACAACTTTCTCAGAGAAATGGAGGAATTGAATTACCTTCGAGCTTCGTCGATCCTGCAGCGCCATCTCCACAGCTTTGCTGCCTCCCACGAAGCTTGGATGCGATGTGTTGATGTAGTCCATCTGCAGCAGTAAGCACCGGTCAGAGACAACGGAAGCAGGTCATTGCTGGCAAAGAACTCCAAAGCCGACGAGGAAGAGAGCCAAGCTTCGATAAAGCAGAATAGGATGGTTTGTAGCTTCAGCCTCGGGATGTGGCTTCAACCAATCCGTAAACGAAGGAAGCATCTTCTGGAGGTTTGCCCTAAAATAAAGCCGCAACTTATACGCGGGATACGCTTTATGCACAGATACTCTGATGTCTACTCTAGTGTGCCATCTGCGCTCCTTTTCCGCATTCATCGATAAGGGGCTTCAAATAATCAGATTCCTCTGCACCATCCAAAGAGAAGAAAAACAAGTCCTCATCACCTGGTGGAACCTCACTAGGTCTGGAGCCGCACTTGTGATCACAACCAGTAACAAACGAGAAGGACAACGAAAAGGACCGCACAATGACTTACCTCCATCTCGATGAGGTGCCCAATCATGGTCTCAGCAGGTATGAGTCCCTCTCTCAAAAAGTTTGACACGACGTCATCGACGCGGCGCCGCAGCACTGGGAAGCGCTGGAGCTCCAGGGTTTCACAGCGGTGCGAGATCTGCCAAAAGCAAGAGTAGGTCGCACTCATGAGCAGCAGAGGCAAGCAAACGCTTAAAAAAGTGGACGTGTTTTAGCTGGACGGAGGTCGATCTCAATCTCGCTGTGAAAAGCAAACGAGACGATAGTGGTTTGGAATACAGACCATGTAGCCATGATTGTGTGAGTGAAGGTAAACGTTGTGTGCATGTTTTGGACGTGCCCAGTCCGCAGGTAAAGTCGCAAACGTGCCCGCTCAACAGTGGTGAACTGATGGAGAATGTGGTAACGGCGAAAACATCATGATTCTCGACCTATTAAGGGGATGATCCGTGAGCTCGGGGTTGAGCAGACGTAACGACCAGGGGAAGGACGTAGCTAACAATCTAAACCAGAGGGGATGCGCTATGCAAGCACACCAGCCGAAGCCTGGACCGACCAGATCCACCTGTTCCCCGGGCTTTGACTCTGCTCAAACGCTTTTGTCTGTAGTGTTATGCAGTAAAACCGTCAGCAAAATAGACTTCAGGGCGAGGAGCTTTACCTTCACAAGCTCCTCATACACAAAGCGCGCACACTGCAGGGACGGCTCCAGCAGGCGAGCAATCTGCCTCCGGACGAGCATCTCGAACGGAACCTGGAACGAGACGGCAAAAGAAGCGGACAAGGTTGGTCGGACGCAATCAGCAGTTGGGACACCCATGCTGGGCACATCGTGAACTACTCCTGCGATTCGTCTATGTTAAGCACGTGCTTACAACGACCCGGTTCTAGGCTGATTGGAGAAGGAAAAATCAGGAGGCGGAAGCTAGAAAAGGCAATTCAAGGATCATAAGCAACTGACTCAACGTCAATCTGACAACTAAATGAACGTCCCACTCAAAATCTTCGGGTCTTTTGTACTAACGTGGCTCAAAAGATAGACAGCCAGGAGGAAGAGCGGTCCGTACCTCTGGCACAAAAAGAACGCTGCGCGGGCCTGTTGCATTCTGAATCGCCGTTCGGATGTCCTCATCCGAAAGATCGTCGCAGGGGTCGACATCCTGACAAGCAGCAAAAGGGTCAGGCTACGGTGCATGCTTTGTTGATTCAGGGAGCTGCAAGATCTTGATTCTAAGATACCTCGTCGGGTTGGAAGAGGGCAGCGTTTTAGCAACAAGGCCCGTCACGATTCTTGACTTCCAAGCTATCATTCTTAGCATCGAGAAATTGTTGGAAGAAGCGGCTCCAGACAAACCACAACGGGGTGTTGGTACGTTGACATAGCAAACGAGCACGGGATTGCAATTGCATGGGGATACCAGATGGATAAGTGAGGCCGACTATCAACGCCTCCTCTAATTACGGACGCAACTCGATGCAACACTATCAAAACTCACACAAGACATGTCGGTACAGGATCCTCCGTTCTAAAATGTTAGACGCCCTTCGCCAGTCTCCCAGACAAAGAGACTCGCAGAAAGGCTCACCTCAAGACTCTTCACGAAGATCGCCTGGAATATATAATGGATGCGGGCCCCTCCAGATAACTCGTGAGTTGACATGTTCTCGTTTTTGCCATCCACAGTCTCTCCGAATGCTGCAAAAGACGAACATGATGTCAAAATCGCAGAGCCGTATTATCAGCACATCGTCTTCCTTCCACGCTTTGAAAGGGAGCTCTTCTTGCAAGTGAATAAACAATTGTGAATCATCCGACTCTGTCAACCAGAAAACAGAAAGGAGCCGGCGAAACTTACACTTCGAGTACCGTGTGAGAATGTTGAGAAGAAGCGCGCCTTGGCCAGACTGCAGGCAACATGATCAGGAAAGTTAAGAGTAACTTCGGGAGGTTATCTCGCTTAGAAGCTTGTGGCATTGCATCCCTTGGACTCGTTTGTCTTTGTCAAGCAAAGGACGGATAGAAACAGCCACTGCTTCTCAGGCACGACTCAAGCAGCAACAAGATGAGGTTCTGTGCACCTACCTTGGACTCGGTGACCTCCCCGTACCCAACCAGTTCCTTCTGAAGCGTAACAATCTGGGCGTTGATGCGTGCCCGAAGATCCGGTAGGATCGACTGAATGTGCTTGACAAGTATCTGCGAGGTTCAACCAGAGCAGGTCAACGACCTCCTCCACAACTGAAAAGCCTTCGCTTTTTTCAAGGAAACAACTCTGAGCTTGAACTGAAACACATTGAAAGCCTTGATGTTCTCGACAGGCAGGAGATAAAGATGAGAAGTCGGTCAAGCAAAGCGATGTCGAACAATTTAACAAGGTTGCGCGGAGACATACCGCGTTCAGCTTGAGTGCGAGTTGCTGGATTCCGCAGCGGTCGGCGAGACTATGGTACACCTGCACAAGGACAAGGCATCAGACCCTGTGTCTAACGAAGATATCGGGATTGAAGCAGCGACGAGAGAGCACAACCTGGCTGCCAAAATCGTACCTACCAGAACGAAGGAGGTCTGAACAGGAACAAACTATGCAAACCTTTCCGAATCCTCAATCCAGAAATACCTCACCGGTCGGCTCCTGAAAAACTGCTCTTCATAAGACACGGCATCACGGATGCTCTTGTTAGAGTTGATGTCCTGCAAACGAAGATACCATACATTAAGCCATGGTCTTCTAACAATTGAAGCTGTGAGTGGCATCTGCAAGAAACCAGCCAGTCGAAGCCAGCGGTGAAAACGCCAAGAGCTCGTGTGTGAAGAAACTGTTCTTGTTACCACTTTTGCACACATACGGACCCTTGACCATTTTATATTCTGAAGGCCCGCTATCTTCACTGATAAGCCCAAAACTCGTCATCTATGGTTTTAAGAATGTTCAGAAAAACGCACCTCTTGGCTGCGGTTCACGACCCCAATGTATCCAAGCTTCAAAGGCACGACACTCCCCAAAAGGATGTTACGCGCGTCCGTGCCCCGGTCCATGATATCAAGCTGCACAGGGTGAAGAGGATTGTGGCATCAAACATACAATGACTACAGATGTTTATCACTTGCAGCAATGCGAGGGCTAACATGCAAAACTATTGGCGCCTGAAGATCAAACACTTCGCAACAACAGAGGCCTGATCTTCCAATGTACGTCCATTCGGCCAGCCTTTGCGCAGATTGAAGTGCTCTCACCTTTGTAATAACGCCGATCGTCCTGGAACCTGTAAAAGCACGAAGATGCAGTACAAGAATAAGCCTTTGAAAATTGCTGGATGCCTGATCGACTGTCACAGTAGCACCCAGGATGCGAAAAATCTTACTCGCAGACCAGACACCACCAGCAATGCGTGTGTGGATTCGCGAAGAATCTCCGGTTCTAATAAAAACCATAGAGAAGGCTCACCGTCAGGATCAGCAATCCGCGCTATTTGCAGGGCATCCGAGTTTGACAGATCCGCATTGGCAGGGGAAACGGCCAGGATCAAGCACGTCGAGTGTTTGATGTAGGACAGGACCATGGTCCGAATGCGGGCCTCAATGTCTGTTGGCTGATCCCCAGTTGGCACTTTCGTGATGCCTGGCAGGTCTACTAGAGTAATGTTGAGCTGCAAACACAGTAGCATCACCAGTAATCAGCGTCCGCCTAAGCGGTCTGCATGAAGTACTTTTTGGACCTAGGAAAAGGTGCAACTCTCAAAGCTTCAGCGTCCTCAAAAGCAATGTTGCAGTGAAGTGCTTGGATGCTGCCTTCTGATTCGCCGAAAAGTCTCACCCAAGAAAAGTGGGTCAACATTCATGATCAATGTTGCTGTCCATAGAGCAGACAAAAGTCTTCTAGGGTTCAGATGGACATACCACGTTTGGTGAAAAGATCTTCAGCCGAATCTGCTTTTCAGAGATGCCTCTGTTCACGCCACTCTCCCTGTCTGTCTCAGCCTGCATGAAGAAGTGGTGTCCTTAAACTTCCTGGAGATTGCCGACATGTGGTCTTCTCGGGCAAAGAATGGGCTCAGGAATCTATTAACGGCACAGTTTCATAACCAGTGCTGTGAGCAATCTTGCAAATATCAGAGTACTATTGGATCTTATACTTGCAATAAGGGCCTGCTCAATGCACCGTACCTGTATCTCTTTCCGAATTGCTCCGAAGTCTGTGAATCGTCTGCCAGGGAGATGCAGAAACTCTCCCCATTCCGCCACATCTCCTGCCCTGTCTGCATGCTCTCTCCGAACAGTCTGTACCAGTTGCAGTACAAGGGGTCGACGGGTACAGATGTCTTGACCCCTTGGCAAGAAGTCGCGACCAACTAGAGCTTCCAAGACGCTTGATTTCCCGCTGCTCTGACTACCAACGACAGCCACTTGAGGGAGATCAATGCTGGCAGCACCCGTTCCAAGCTGAGCGAATATGTCCTGAAGTTTGTTGACTAGAGGAATAACGGACTGGCCAAGGAAAGCGATTTGAGGCGCAGCTGGGGATGCGACAGAAGCATGAGAAGCTGTGTGTTGAGGAGAGGCGGCCGGCGACTGCGTCACAGCTGGCTGCGCCATTTTGCATCCGGTAAGGATGGAAAATTTCGCTTGTCAGGATGGGCAAAATGCTGATACAGTCAGAGACAAATCAGAATATCCAGCTTGATCCAAAAGACCAGACCACGAAGGCCGTTCCAAGCCAGACGGCAACTACGCGACAGCCACACTGATATGCTCCAGAATTTCTGTCTGCCACAGGATGGCTCAACTAACGTGCTGTGACAGAACCATGCGAACAGGTGCCCGAAGGGTGCGACACTCTGGACTCTCGAGAGCTAGGAGCTCATGCAATTTGATCTGCAATGCCAGCGAAGGCGGCGTCCACCACCTCTTTCACGTGACTCAATGCGAGCAGTCTAGATGACGGTCTTGGCCTGAGTGAGCGCCGCGGCCCGCCTCATCGACTCTTTCAACGTTGAAATCTTGTAGTGGTTACCGGTACCTACTTCTGCCCGGGAGTCTCTGTGCCACAGTTAATCTAACCTGCCCAACCCTGCCTGAACCTCGCTTATCCGTGGGCAAACTGGATAGGTAGGTTTCCAAATTAACCCGACAGCTGATCAGCAGGAGAAGTGGCCCGGGGAGAACAGGTTGCGTAGCTGAATCTAATCAACGAAAACCTTTCCAAACCTCGGCGGGGCGACGCGGGGCGGGCCCGCGCGCGATCTGCCATTATATCTCGTTTTGATGCAGCCTTGCAAATTTGCTTTGGCGCCTGTGGGCGCAGCGACCCTGCTGCGTTTGACACGCAACCACGCTATTTCCAGCAACAGCTTTCTGCCTCAACTCTCAAGCACGTGAAGCTCGACATAAGCTCGCTTTGCATAATCAAAATCACAAGTCTAGAAAATATTTCGTCAAACATTAGGTGGTACAGAAGTGCTGAAGCTTTGCAAGCTTGAACGTACCCCTTGCAACAGAATGGGAGTTCTGACACCAGGTAGATTCGACTTCACCATCTAGCATTCAGTAGTCAAAGTCGGGATATGGTGCAAAAGCGAGTGCAGCATGCAAGCGCTCCATCGAAACCTGCAGATACCGTCCCGGTCGTTAGTTAAAACGAACTCTGCTTCACCATCAACGTTTTTCGGCTCATCAGAGTCGGCAAATTTTTAATCTCATCTTCTGGCGCCCCAAGTAGACAAACAACCGAAGCCTGCAACCTGCAGCCAGTTATCCACTCAGAAAGCTCTCGATTGGTGGTGCTTCACACAGCTTTCTACTTTGGCGTTGTTTGAAAGTAGTGATTCAATAGTAGAGCAAGGACCAGAAGAACACGGAAAATCTTCGTGAAGATTTTTGGAGCTGGTCAATGTCACAATAGGAATCTCATCTTGTCATATTGCTTTAAAAACAATTCTCCTGATCAAACAGTTCTAACGTCGTGGTTGCGTGGACCGATATTATGCACCTACATGAAGAACTCGTGAGATACGGCGAGGTGGAACTATGTAAGATCTGGGAGCCGGGACTTCATGGTTTTTGCAGTCGAAGATTTTCGCAACGACTAGAGATGGATGACATAGTGTGGGGTACCGAAAATCCTGTTCTACTATCTCTGAGAAAAGCACACTTTCAAAATGCGATGCGACTGCAAACCTCATCGATACGACTACTGCTGCCTATCACTGCAGCAAAGCAGATACTGTAAGGCCTGCTGGGGCTATCTGTAACTCTTACAAATGTTATGTTCGACCAATTCTATCATTGCTGGGCTAGTAAGCGACTTTCCAATGCCAACACCTTTCCGATACCTGACTGTGTATGAACAATCCTGCTGGCAAGCAAGATGCAAGAACCAACTTATTAAGGAACAAGGGAGCATTCTTTCAAAGTTTGTTAAAAGTCTTTCAACAGATGAGCATTGGAACCAGTGCTGTGAAATATCATCTTAATTTTCATTCGCTCGTTGCATTCCTTACAGCGAAGGAGAACGCCAAGAGGAGGAAAGCTGAGGCAAGGAAAAGGAGGGTGGCGAACTACCTCAACAGCTTCAATTGCTGGTATGCAGACATGGACAAGGCCTCGTGTTGATTTTTGCACCTGACATCAGAGAAAACACAGACGTCACTCTCGTTTTGTCAAAGTTTCTGATTGCGTTGCTTTTAGGTGAACGTGTCCCTTTGGTCACGTGTGTATCTCCGCTAATGTTGAGCATGTAACTCTATGCAGGAACGGGTGCCTCGGCAGAAAGCTCAAAGAGGAAAAAGAAAACGGAGATATGGTGTACCACGAGTTGCAATCATTGAAAGCATGTGCAAATCAGGTCTTCCTAACACTGATTGTGAGAGTTCACTAAGTCGCATTCAGAAAAAGAAAGCTTGAAGTTGCAGGATAGGATATCCAACAGCTTGTTAAAGGACACGAAATTTTTAAACAGCTCGTCAGGGCCCGCTACTCAAGGCGAAGGCGTTTCTGTATAAGCATCATTGACGGGGAGATTGTCCCGAGGTTTGGAGGTTGCTCTTGCTCCTTTTCCAGTATCTGTGGTGTTAGGGTCTAAGAAGCCTCGTTTGATCAGTTCATCACACGACTGATTTGGCACAAGGAGAACGCAGGGATGAAAGGGACTTCGAATGATCTAATAGTGGATGGCATACTGGAAGTTACTCGGGCAGCTTCCGAGGCCTTTGCATGCGTGCCAAGCAAGCTGCCTTTATTGCGTCAAGCATATCAGTCCCTGCGCTCCCAGGAGTCTGGTCTACTATAGTCTACTCGAGACACGGTGAAAACTTCAACTGGAAGAAGAGGTCCGGCATATCCTCCGTCATATGCCAGAGATCTCAAGCAGTCGGCTTCCGCAATCACGTGGCTGCATGACTTTTGAGGTCCAATTGCATATATATCGTTCAAGCCCAATAAAGCCCAAGCATGCGCGTCGGGCCAGTTTGCAGCCAGCATCTGCAACCTACTAGATATACATACTTCCGCACTCGGCGTGCGCGCTGTTTCCCTGTTCCCCTTGGTTGGCCACATGCCCGGCCGAAAGTACGCGGAATCGAGCTAGCGACCAATGTTTGTTGGGCCGCCCCATGGGATCTGATCGAGTCCCATGTGACGACGAATCGCGACCCCCTCATGCAACGAACATATGGCAGATGCAGTCATGGCCGCGAACGGCCGGCCGGTGAGACACCAGAACTTTGACAATAACGCGATCCAAACCATTGGATTTGTTGATCGGATAACTGCCGTTTAAAAGGCGCGCGCCAAAACGACCTCCGGCCGGCCATTGTGACTCGCCGGGCCATGTACAGATTTGCCGCGCAGTCCGCTTGATTGCGAAGCCACATGAGATCGACCATGCAACACTCACATTCACATGTCATTGCATGGATCCGCGGGATCATCAAGTCCTCTTCTTCTATACTAGAAAGAAGAATGCCATTTGCATTGACGGCATGCTCATGCAAGGCTTAGCCTAGGTATACACGGTCATCGTGACAGCAAACGGGAAACACAGTGCCTCACGATGAAGCTCCCCTAAACGATCCGCCGGCAGAAAGCGCCTAGGCAAACCGGAATCGTGCTAAGAAGTTCGACCCATGCAACGGCCTAGAGGAAACCGGCTCTTGGCACTACTCAATTGCAACACGAATTGCAATCCGGTATACCCAATCAAGGTTCATCATTCCTCGTCCTGCTTTTCTCCAAAAGGATGATGTACCACAGGCTGCTCTCCCGCTACGTGCTTCTGTACCAAACGCTGCAAGTCCGCCATCACCTGCAACGGAAAGAGTTGCCGCGTCAGAAATGTATTCGATGAATGCAACACGGCGAATCTTTCATCAATGCTGCAGTCAGCCACCCCGAAAGCGCACAGCAGAAGATACTGAAATGATCCACAGCTTCCTCATCGCAACTATTGTGTTCCTCTCTGGCGGACTCGACTTGAGCATGCAGAGAAGCACAGGCGAAAACGAAGTCGTAGCAAAATAACAAGCAGATTGAACCGCAGAAACCCAAAATCCAAACCCCAGAATGAAATAAGCGATAGCCAGCACATGAGAATGAAAAAGGAACGCGAGCAAAAGCCAAGTCGACCGAAGCAAAGCAGCTCACCTTTTGCTCTCTCTTGGCCTTCTCTTCGTAGTTGAACATGGCCAGGGCGCGCTTGTCCTCTGCGCTGTACACTTGGTTCTCTTTCCGGATACGGATCGCGTTCATCCGCTGGTGCCTGCAGAACGGTACAGCGTGCAACAAGTAAGCTCGCCATTCAAGCACGCTCCTGACAAAACATGCCACTTCTCTTTGATCCAAAAGCCTCCTCTTCTCATCCTTGTTCAGTTCTTTCCGACTGCAAAGCCTTCCGTCTCTTCAGTGCTCACAAAGGGCGTCCTTGTCCTCAGTGCCCACAAAGGACGATCATACTAATCTGCTGAACCAAATCAAACCAACAATTGTAGAGCCAGAACGGCTTTCCGCGAATCCCCAAATCAGCTCCTTCCGAGACATACGTGACTAGCCTCAATTCCATGGGTCCACTCGATACAAACTGTGCTTGCACCGTTTTTGAACTGGGCATCGGGAATCGCCGGGCGAAAGAATTCAATACCAACGACAACGACGACCAACGGTCAGAACTTTGAACGACAAATTTAAACTTTCTCAGTATTCTAAAGAATTAAAAGAGGACATGCACGTCCTGCGTCTATTTCTAAGGCAGTCTGGATCCAATATAAGTAACGCGACAGGACAAAGCAAAAGCACAAAGCGATTCGGTTTAGCAGAATCTCACCTGCTTCCACTCATGACGTAGCCCATCTGCTCGAAATTTGAGATCTCGTCAGCTGACAACCCGACCTCTCCTCGCCGCGGGATACGCTTCCCCTGCTGTACGTAAGACGCCATGGCGTCTCCTTCGCCGGGCCGCAGAGCAGACCCGTAACTGCAGTGGACACGGAGGGCTTTCAGTCAAAGATGCTTTTCGTTATTTGCTTCTCGTCTGCCCTCGTCCAGTCGAAGAGCAGAAAGGCAAATAGCACCCATGTTGAAGCGTCCAGTCAGCTGCCAGAGATCCTTAAGCGCGCGACCAAAGGAAGGAGTTGCCAGAAGCAGCTTAGGTAACAAGCAGTAGGAGGTCCGGACCAGTGCTTCTGCTGGGACGCACAATCTGTTTGACCGACAGCAAAGCCGGACAATCGCGCCTTCAGAATTGCACAGAAAAAATCGTGCATGAAGCCCTTACAGGATTCCACGAGAACGTCAGCAACACGACATGAAAAACCAAAGAGTCGACATTGCACTCACTTTACACGCCCATCCATCTCGGGTGCGGGTGCCGGTCCCACGATCGGCTCATTGTCAAGGTCGTCCTCTGCAAATAAAGGTCTCTCGATTACTCTCGCAGTCCCCGGCATCACATCGCAAACCGTTTACTCCTTTATTGGACGTCAGCAGGAGCGATGGACGACTGCGGCCTGTCGTTTTCTCAGCAGCTTCGCTCTGCTCAACCTATAGAGACCTCGCCCCAGATACGGGGACAAGCGAAGGTACTCTGGGGTTCAAACCTTGCGACTGCCAGCGAAACCACCTCTAGACCCAGAAGAGAACAGGAGCGCTTCTGAATACGCGTCAGGCAAGCATGCAAGACTTCAGCTTTCCGTCGCCCTCACCTTCGAGCTTCTTCTCCAAGTACTCCCGGAACTGCGCCTCCTCCTCCGCGGTCATCGGAGGCAGCTCCGCCAGCGCCAACGGGTCCACGTCAGCGGCCGGCGGCGGCGGAGGTGGCGGTGGCGGCTCTTCCGGTTCGGACGCGCACTCTGATTCGGACGCACTTTCGGACTCGCTCTCGCTGGGGGTGGGCGTCCGGCGCCGGCGGCTCTTCTTCTTGCTACGGTGGGAGTCTCTCTGCGGGAACAAAAGATTGTTGAATGAGACCCGAGGCTTCCTGCGCATCTGGCCTTGGCCGTGCTCAGGCTGGAACAGCATGACGCTCTGCCGGCTATTGTTGTCTTTGCCCGTACAGGCAGACAATGTTCAAAGCGATGAGCGGTTAAGGACTGCCGGGCTTTCACGTTCGCGAGTCCATGGCCGCTTCTTATGCGAACCAAAGCATTCGGTTGCTGCGAACCTCTTCAGGCGAGTATCCTCGTAGTGCAACCTTCCAATCAGAAGACGAGTGAGCAGGTTAAAAACAGCCTTGGAAACTTCGACTTTCCGAAACCGTCGTTTCGAAAATCAGTCGCATGCCTATGGCAGCCTTGACTTCCTGAAATGGAACATGCAATTAGCAGCGAGCTGAAGAGCACAGTGAAAAGGCCCATGGGGTTGCGAGCAATCTTACTTCCTTCCGCCGCTTTCGCCGCCGTTCTTCGGATCTGCTGCGGCCCCGCTTAGAGCTCCGACGAGCTGCAAAAGAATGCCAAGAACATATACTCACAGCATGCCCGAGATCAATCGGCACAGCAGAAGCGACCAGACAGCTTTTAAAGTGAACTCAAACGACCGCCAACATCTGGAATAGGCAGCCTGAAACAAATACACATCCTTCTCCTCAGCATACCATGGTTCAAGGGGACTTGACGTGTGGCTACTTCGATGTGATACACGTGCAAAGCTTTCAACGGAACTATAATGACCTAGATTGGTCGAGAGCAAGAGTAAAAAGGAAATTTCGTTCCCGGGAAAATGAAGCGGGTCAGAACATGGTTCTCAGCTTCTGACCCGCCTTAATCACCAGCGAATACATATTCCAAGGTGAATCTAGACACATCACCAAGCTCAAGGCACAACACTCACTCTTCTCATCTTCGCTCTCCTCCTCAGATTCCGCATCTGACTCCTCGTCCTCACTCTCCGTCTCGTCCTTTCGACGCTTCTTCCTTGAGCTCTCGTCCTTCTTCGTTCTTGACCTCTTCTTTCGGTCTTTCCTATCCTCCTCGCTTTCCCTCTCCTCGCTTACCTCATCCTGACTTCCATCCTCCGACTCTGTTTCCAAATCTTTCGTTTTTCTATTAGAGGACTTCTTCTTATCCCCACCCTTTTTCCGCTTGTCCTGCAACTCTTCGTCTTCGCTTGAGGCCTCCTCCTTCTTGGTACCCTTTCTACCTGCGTCTTTCGCATCATCTCCGTCACGATCACCCCCAGGAGATCCTTCAGACACCTCCTTAGCACTGCAAAAGCAGATTTGTGGAGATTTGGTTTTCAACGTGCTTTGAGTCGTCTGTCCTTCAAGCAGTTGTGAGTCAGACGCACTTGGTGTCTCAATACGTGCTTTTGTTTGCTTGTTGTGCAGAAACGCGCCTTTGCGGTCTCACCGACAGCATTGAACCTCCTTGCCAGAAAGTGCATCGCTCCTTCCAGATAACGTCTACACTTTCATGCCTTCAGCATGAAAACAGGTCGATTTCAGGGCTGTCCTGCGGCTTACCTTTTGCGTCTGCCCTCAGGTTCTGGGGAGGGGCTAGGTGTGATCTTCCAGATGCTGTTCACATTCTTCTCGCGCAGCTTCTCCCGCTTCTTCACACGGCTGCAACACAGAAGAGTATCACTTCAGGGTTTAGTGTCGTTTTGCATCCTTTGAAAAGCAGAACCTCTGATCCCAATTGCTTTAACTGCAGCTCTATCACTGCGGACTGTCACATCAACCTTTCGAAAGGCACCACAAGAATGCACCGCAGGATTCAGCAGAGTATGACAGTAGTAATAAGTGCAATTCATTAGTTGTCCCCAAATGCTGAGCCAGCCCTCAAGAAGTGCGACAACTCACAACTCTGTGAAGTCCAGACCTCGAAGGTCCTCATCGCTGTCTAGGTCTCCGAGAGGGTTCCTGCACAAGTGCGGATTGCTGGCTTGAAACAATCATGAACAACTCTTGGTTCTGAGTCGATGGTGTCAGAACCCTGCATTTATTGCTGGAGTGCAATTCAACAAGGAACAAGTTGCTGTCTCTCCATCTCTGGGTCCCTTAGTTGACAGCTCACAGACGACAGCTCAAGAGCGAAACCCTAAAATACTATAGCCTCCACCACTAAGCACGTCGGCCTCACCTTGAGCCGGCATTCCATCCCGGCCGACCATATTCCTGCCTACCACCATCCCTGTACTCATCCCCACCCCGGCCCCCATAACCACCCCCATAACCACCCCCATAACCACCCCGGTGGCCATTCCTTTGAGGGGAGCGGGACCGAGGATGCCGCCCATTCCCGTCTCGTATGTCCTCGCGGTAACCCGAGCGATGCTCCTCTCTCCTGCCAGGGCTTCGGCCCCCCATTTCTCTTGGATCGTGCCTCCCCCTTTCATCCCCATTTCTCTTCCCCCGGTCGTGATCTCTGTAGCCAGAACCCCGGCGCTCAGGGCTCCGGGAGCGAGAAGCCACCGCTCGGCGGTCCCTTCCGGGTGGACTGTACGCAGGAGCCATGCCAGACAAACCAGGCAGCGGCCACGTCCCTGACTTTATTGAATCCCTTCTCTCCAGCTTGTGTTCTACCTTTGCTGACCGCCAGCTTGCGCAATTCTGCCATTCACGGCGAGTTTGCGGCAGCCGTATGCTTAACCGGTTTTCCACCAAACCTAGTTGTGGGCTCGTAAGACCTCGGGTTTCGTAACCAAAGACACAAACCCTTCTGGCGAACTGGCTAGCAGCAAGCAGCCAAACAAAGCAGCGAACTCTCTTGCACTGGTGGCTGCTGTGCCAGATCGAGGCACATTGTCATCGAAGACTAGTTGTGAGGCGCTGGCATTGGCAAAAGTGCCAAAGCAAGGGGATCAGGAAACGCTTTCCAGGTTCATAGCAAGAGGGGATTGCCTCAGCAACAATCAGAGAGGGGCCGGACGCAAAGTAGCCTTCAGCTGCTCTCCGAGGGCGGCCTGGTATGGCAGTCGAAAAGGTCCCTGTTCTCGGCCGCCCTCTGGGCCAGTTGGCATTTGCGGAGGCAAAGAGGAACTGGCCATTCATGCTCGGGTTTGCAGTCACATTGACGGGAGTCGTACAGTTGTCCTTGGCGCTTCCAAGTGAGCTCATCTCCGTCCTTGCCGCTAGTGCATTCTGATCTGCTGTCTGCAGGTAGAAGAAGGGTTACTGGCGAGATTTCAAGGAGTACACTTGCCGGACTAGGTTTTGCATACTTTCTGAATCTTTTGCTGAGAGGAAGGAACCCCGCCCTCCTGTTGTAAGATCCTTGGAAAAAGAAATTCGACGTATTTTCTTGGTCTCCTGCGCGGTGGTGAGTCTCTGTTGTGGTTTTGAAGAACACATAACTGGTGAGACTTGTTCTGCATGTCTGCAAAAGGCTGCAGATTACGTCAAGCTGAAGCCTTATGTTATGGCCTCTTCTCTGAAGATAGCATCCCTTAAGTCGGAGCCACTAAGAGGAGAAAAGCAATCAACCCTCTGAGTGAAGGGCCTCCAATCTTGGACCTGAAACCCTAATTCAATCCTACAACTGCATGAATCAAGTTGCATGCAATTGCAATCACCAAAGTCTCTGCTGTAATCTCCTGCGGTTTTCCCTTTAAATGTAGCTTTTGTGGTGTGTCTTCAGAGACAAAGAGCGCGCTTTGTATTGTCTCAAAGTGTCATTCTGCTTGAGGTTCAAGTGGTGTTGCTACGCTTATGATCATTGACACTCGCTGCACCACTTCCTTATGGCCACCATAGCACCTCCGTAAAATGTGGCCGGCTCAAATATCTTCGTCCTGCTGGTTGACAAAATCTAACTTCCGTTTCTTCCATGCTGAGAAAGAGCATTTGGATAGCCTTTGATGTGGCAAATTCCCCTTGTCTGCTGAACTCAACCATATGGAGCTGTTTCTTGGGCCACTTTCTTCTGGAAGAGAAGCACAATTTGTCGAGAAGGTCCTATTGCAAGAGCTCCTATCGCGAAGCTCAGAGCTCCTGAGCATGACTCTCAGGCTTTTGAGATTTGAGTTCAGTACTTTTCAAGATGGGGCTTTCCGCATTTGAATTTACGTTGGCATGGGGTTCGTAACCAAAGGTTGTGGAAGGAACCAAGTTGAGGACGTTTCTGATCACTGCAGAGCTTTTCCGATTTGAACAGAGCGGCGTCCTGACATCTCCCTGATGCTTTCTTTCTGCAGAGGATGCTGCCCAGAAGAGTCCGTTTGTCAACCCAAATGCACACCGATGAGTAACCAAGTTGCTGTTCAAGGAGCGGCTAGATTATTTGACGGAGCTGTGTAAGTTTTTGAGCACCAGCAGAATGGAACGGTCAAATTTGACAGTCCCCACTTTGCCTGGACTGACCTGCTTCATATCCATTTTGAGCAAGCTAAGGCTTCCGTGGCCCTAGTGTGTCCCTAGTATGGACACTCCTGCTTGATTCAAAAAGAACGTTTGAAACAAGCAACGACCTAAGAATCATCATGAACGTTAACTGGTTCTTCGTAAGTCAATACCAAGATTGAAGTTTGTTGTCAGTGTTCCTTCTGATGCACATGAGCTCTGAACACATTGCGTTTTTGGCCAATGGTAATTAGTCACTCGGTGCAGTATTTCGAGCTCATCTGCAATGACACGCCTCAGCTGATCCCGGCTATCAATAAGGCAGCAAACAGCACCTACCTCACCTTTCATGCACATTGTCTGATATTTCTAGACGGTGGCGGCCGCGAGCTACGTCGGTTCATTGTTGCCGCCGGTAGCATGGACATCATCAAATCACTGTGCGTGACATGGTGCATCGTAAGAGAAACGAGTGATAATGATCAGTGAATTCATGGCGACTGACTCACTCATCACCGAGCACACTATATACAAGCGCGTATATGCTGAGTCCATGCATGCTCGACATCCATTGCATGTGGCGCGGCAATCGAGAGAATCGACTCAGAATGCAGTTGAATGTTACACAAAGAACTTACTGAAAGAGCAAATATTTCTGAGCGGCCCCAAGCTACTGATTCGAGGCCGGCTTGATTGCAGCTTTATAACAGACGTATCTACACTCATATTGCACACTGCTCCTCGACAGACATGTTTACAATCATGTGCTTAATCAATTTCGGGCATACGAACTTCAAAGGGACCAGTTATGCTTATCCGCCAGCCGGGCCCTAAAAGCATGACTGGAATCCGACAACATCAGCGCATTCATGTACGCGACGATTGATCGGTGAGTAACACATGCACTTCAATCGTGCTCGTCCAACATTTATCTATCTACTCCGAGCACTACGATCCTCAACAACTAGCTGTCCAATATACCTCACCCGGCGCATTTGCAACCGTCCTTCTCAACCTCTAAAAGGTTAAAAGCTATTCGACCAGAGTTCACCGCACAGACGACTATCTCCAGACTCGTTTCCATCAACTCAACTCTAGCTACCTACTTGATACACAGGGGGCTAACCTACCAAGATCAGCAATCTAATCGTACAGGGCTGCTTTGCATTGCTACACACGAGTGCCAGAATGTCTGGAGCTGCCAAGCGATCCCTCAGGCAGGATGTCGTCTGTGTAGAGTACACTGTTCACCTGAAGGGATTCGCGCCCGGCTTGCCTTTGACCCAACCTAGTCAGTCCGTCCGCTCTGAAGCTCTCAACAACTTTCTATGTAAAAACACTCCCCGGGCGCCCTTATTTGACCTGTTCCCGTCGAATGCCGTTTCGGGGGGAGCAATTTCTATGACAATCCCGACCCCCCTCCTTTTCCCCCGGGGCCTGGTTTGACTATTCCCCTCACAAGATCGTCTCAGCGGGCGCAGCCAAAACCTCCTGAGACTGACAAACAATCTATAAGTTATGCGGGCGCCAAGCGGGGCCCAGAATTATTTCACAGTGAATGCGGCGGGGGGGCTCCTGCTGGGCGTTCGTTGCCCCCCCGTGTCGATTACCTCGCGGCAATCTGTAAACCTGATCTCGCACTGGGCGACGTGGCCCTCTAATGAGAGGCCACGTGGTTCCTCTTGTGGCGTTTGACCGCTTGCACGAAGCTGGGGATGATGTCATCTTCCGAGAGTATCTCCTTCTGCAAAAGCGACGGATCGAGAACTAATTTTAGACAACCGCAGACGTAGATGATTTTGAGTCGACTAGCTCAAATGGGACAGGTTCGAGCATAAACTCCGACACGGAAGAAACTTCCCTCACTTGCACAAATCTGCTGCAAATGCCCGCAGCGTCGCTTTCAGACCTCGTTTTCAAACAGCAACAGCCTCCTTGCCTCCAACAAAAACAGACTGAGATCAAAGGTCTAGCAGACTGACACTGCGATCGAGAGCCAGTCGAAACGTGGGATGCGAGAAGCAGAGAAGTGTCACGTCTCGGCCCTTACCATGGAGTTGAAGTGTTTCCGTACGGCTACGTACAGGTCCTGCTTGCTGGAATTGTGGGTCACGTCCTCCTGCAAAGAGGGGAAACGAGCAGCTTTCAAAACAACGGACGGCTGAAGCCAGGATGCGAGAGTCCTCGATCAGAAAGCTTCTTGGCACTCTCGAGCCTTTTGGAAGCGTTGTCCGACACGCAGGAGCCTGTGATTAGTGGACCCTTCACACGAGTAAGGAATCGTAAGCACTCAATCAGTCGCAGAACAAGAGATGAAAAGGGGATTCAAGTTTGTTCGAACCTCCCTTCGACTGAGCCTTTTGAGACGACTCGCACGCAATTTTGGAATTTCTACAGCAGTTCTGAAGGGCGCAAAGCAATAGCCCGCAAAATGGTGGCACCTTGTGTCAGGACTCTCCAAACAATCAGGAAAGTTTAGCACCAAATCAGAGCGTGGGGAACGCACCAGCCCGTATTTTCGCCGGTAGCGTCGCAGGCACGCCGTGTCGAGCTTCGTCAGGTCCACCTCCTGCTCGAGACGGCAAAAATGGAGACGTCAGCAATCTCGTCATGATCTCCAGCAACTTCGTCATTATCTCCAGGCTGCGCAAACGAGTATTTTCTTCGATTCGGGGTATTCAGTCGAGCAGGCCGCCCTGGGAGGCTTTGGCCGAAAAGCAGGCTGCTTGCACTGCACGAAGATCCGTTGCTGTCGTAGCGGCCGGTTGTAGGGCAAACCAAAAACAAGCGCTGCGTACATCACCAACGCTTCGCGCAGTCACTCATCCGCAAAGGCGCGAAGAGCATGAAGTGAGAATCACAACCGGATTCCGCCCCTGCGTAACATCCTGGACCGGAGCTTTGAAACCGGAAGCAGACTGATCGTGCTTCGTGTGGCCCCGGATCAATAGGAACCGTCCAAAAGTCGAGATACACAGAACAACCGCGGATACCCGCGACATTACCAACCTAATGTTGGTCGAACGCAACTACAGACTAAACTTGGACGACTGAGGAAACCAATTCAGAAAGCGAGGGATCCCCCTCACCGGCCGCCAGTTCTCGTCGTCCATGGCCGCGAACTTGAGAGTCTGCATGGCCTCGTAGCGGCTGAAGCCGAGGCTGAATCGGTTGGGCGTCGGCGTGAGGGCGGTGCGGAACGACTGCCCCGACTTGCGCGACTTGGGCCGGACGCTCGGCGGGCTGGGCAGGCCTGGGAAGATAAGATGAATAGTGACGTCAGCAGATTATTTAGGGATGAGGTCACCGGCGGAAGTCGGCGGCCTGGGTAAGCCTAAGGAGACTTAAAGATGGTGACGTCAGCTGACGGGTGAGGTGTGACGTCAGTGGGAGGATGCGAGCTACGGGCCCAAGCTGAGCGGCTTGCGCAGGACGCTGCGCGGGCAGCAGGCCTACGTAAGTGGCCGGGACGACGACAGCGGAAAGTGCGGAGGGTGACGTGCATCAAGCTTGAAACGATTCCTCACACAGACGTTTCAGGGGTGCCTTGATCATATTGACGAATCGCTATTGAATTCGCTGATTCATTTCGGAATAGACCTTTGCAACCAGACTCAGGTCAGCGCATGACAATTAGGCCATAAGATAGACCTCGTCGTCACTCTAAGCATGAAAGCTGTTAATCTTCGTCCTCATGTTGGTAAATAGATTTATCCCAAAACCTATCGTCTCGTAGTTCCGTAAGAGTCGCCCTGCAACCGTACAGACTTTATGAAACCTATCGTCTCGTGATCCCGCGGTAAACAATTCCTGCTTTTCGCGCAACGTTCTTCAGACTCTCTGTCCTAAAAGCTCTCCAATCACAGAATCGAAAAGAGCGATCAGTTGATGTGCGCTTCGGCCTCCAACGTGGGCTATTTGGATAAGAAGTTGCTTCGAACGAGAAACAAACCGTGTCCGTAATACTAGTTGCATACAGGGGATGTTCACGCGTTCGCGCACCTGACAGCCCATCTGATCGACTCGTGGGGAGGGCCCCCTCAAACTCGGTGTCGTTGTCATCGCCAAAATCCCAGACGCCAGCTGGCGCCTCCAGGATGTGCAGGGCGTTTCGTTGAAGCTTCACTAGGTCCCCATTTTCCAGTTGCTGCAAGATACAGATGTCACAGATGTTTAAAAGAAATAAGCGCATTCTTTTGCAAAGAGTGGAATCAGAAGGATTCCGGTTCAGTTGGGGCTGACGATCAATTCTATTTCAATCGAAGATACAAAGAGCAAGTCAAAACTGCAAAGCTTCAATATGATACCCATAGGAAAGAGCAGCGTGCAGAGTAAGGGGTCCCAAATTTTGCTGGGTTCTCGAGTTCTGCCGCCTGCCGGTATTTCTCACTGAACTACAGGATAGAGAGACTGTGGCGAAACATAACAACGTGTGACCGCGACGAAGACAACAAAGAAATGATAGAACGCAAGGAGACACTCTCGCCCTGCCAGCTGTCAAGGTGCCTTCATTGACAGCTGGCAAAATCCATTGGGCCTTTTCTTAAAACCCACTAATTGCTACATTCTGAAAGGCAAGTTCAATGTAATTTCAAGGGCCTAGCATCCAAAAGCTGAATAAAAGGCAACCCTCTCTTTCTAGGGGGACCTTTCGAGGTGGCGATTGCTCAAAAGGACTTGCCACAGCAAAGTCATTGTTTACAAAACCAGCGCCTTTTAAAATACGTTCAGGGACCTTAATACTCGCAGTGTTTGTTCGTGATGGCAATTAAGGTCTACGGCCATCCAACATTTCTCAGAGAGAAGTCGGTGGTATTAAGCATCGCTTGCAACACTCATGCAGAACCTATGGATTGGTAGTACTCTGAGAAGTTGGTGGTATTAAGCATCGCTTGCAACACTCATGCGGAACCTATGGATTGGTTGTAAAGCAGAGACTGCATCTTGGTCCAACCAGAGTAGCAATTTGAAAGGGAGATCTGGCAAGTGAGAGATTACACTCCAAGTACACCTGTCAATTGAACATGAGGACAGCTGTCGTGCAGCAGAACTAAGTGCTTTTACATTCACATGACTCCTGGTTGAACCACTGATGCCAAGACATACACATTCCAACTGGCGTACCAGCTAGATTGTCACGACCTTCTATGGACAAGACCACTTTGAAAAACTTCATGTAACAGAACTTCCCATGCACTAGTCTGATGTTGGGCTTAAAAATGAGCAACTCAATCTGATAAACACCAAACCAAGCAACTTGCTTCAGGGCATCTGGCTGCACTATTTGCCAGACCAACAAACCCTGAGGATTTGAGCAAAGTCTAGAGGCCCTTATCAAATCGAGAGGAGCAGAGCCGGCGCAAACCAAACCACTAACCCAAGCGCAAACCAAGATCACCAGCCAAAGCTTGCCTCCAGCCCACCAACTTCCGAGCAACCATGAACCCAAACCTAATTGACTCAAAGTCCAGGACCAAACCTAAGTACTTGTTCAAGCACAAACCCAAGTACTAATCCATCCGCCAAATCAAGTGGTCTCACCAGCCAATGCCACCCTCCCAGGCCCACCGACTTCTTCACAACTCCGCGCAGCCCGACCAACACGCGCTTCGTCCTACTGTTGCCAATGATAAGCACTTTGGTGTCCTTGGGGAGAGACGGCAGGTCATCAAAGTCGCCCACATCGCTACCGTACTCGTCGCTTGCACCGCTGGGAATGCTGATGGTCGGAGAAGTGGTCCCCACCGTTCTAGCGCTCATTGCCTTCACCTCCGGAGGCGGAACAACCTCGGCATGCGCCATTTCCAGGATCGCAATCATGATCTCAACTCGGAAAACTGCGTACCACCCGCCTGCTCCTACCGCCGGCAGGCGGCAGGGATAAGAGGAGGCCTACGCCCTCAATGGTGCCCTTTCGCACCTAGACTCAGACCCTGATCTTGCTCTCAAAGACACGGCACCGCGGTAATGTCGCTCTCCCCTTGCTCTTGCTAGGGGATCATCCTGCTCACATCACGCCTGCGCAGCCGCCAACGCAAGTCCCAGCTAGAAGCGAGCACAGCTGACAACAAACTCAGCAGAGTGCTTGCTTCTTATTCAACGTTCTGAATGAGACACCCGCAGCTTTTAGCGCCACTAGAGGAGGCTTGAAGCTTGGACTCTGGAGTCACAGGGGGCGCTTTATCCGTAGAACTCCCTTGGGGCTGACTACAGAGACCATCACAAGAGTCTGCATGCGAGGGCGGACACCATGAACACCGGCGATATCTACCTTTTGAGAGTCCACCCTTTCTCTTCCATGGACAGCATTGCAGCGCCTCGAGGTTGACGGCGCTGACCGCCTTGCTCCAGTCTACACGACAGTCGTCCGAACATCAAGGATGTCACGTCCAAGTGCCGCAGGAAGCTCTGACAGGTTTTTATCGGACGGCGCAGGTGCGTTCGAGGCGTTTGTCGGTGTACTAGTAACGCGACCTGGCTCATCTTGTCCGTCCATTGAAGATCTTCCGCAACGAAAGATCAGGAGTCAAAACGCACGCGCGACCCTTGAGAAACAAGGCTTGGTTGAACGACTCGCCACTCAGTCGGTACTCGATGGGTACAAGAGCTACGTGCTGGACCTTGGTAGAACGTACTCGGAACGTGCTCGGATCGATTCGCTGGATACGATACGGGATGTCGAATCATATTAGCTCAATCCTTGCGCCGAGCGTGGTTCGACAGTCTGATCGAGCTCAGCTGCTAGTCGGAGGAACTTCGATGCTCAGCTGCTACGTATAAATCAGCTTCAAATGCCAAGCATGTGTCAGAACTCCAGAATAGTTTGTGAATGTTCAAGCAATTGCTCTCTACTACACTCTCTTTGATACCATCAATATGCGACCGCCAGCAGCGCGGGGCCAACGCAGCTCATGTCAACCAGTGGGCCACTCCGGCGCAGCTTCAATGCTTTAGCCAGCTTGATTGTGTCAGGATCGTCTGGTTGCATCATGTCATGTTGTTCTGAACGCGTTACCAAAAATTGCATGTTAGGCATGAAGAGATGTAGGCTTTCTCAGGCTTGTAATTCAGTGGTCCAGTGGTCATTCAAAGGATTTATAACAATCGGTGAAGCTGAAGTTAAGATTCATGCAGCATTGCTCATGGCGCAAAAGTGTTCATGCAAACTAAGATAAATATACGCATAAGTATCATATGATTGACTTGTGACGCTGAGACGATGGACTCGAGAAACCAATGGACCGGCGCCCGCCGCATCCCTTTATCTGCATATAGGTTGCCCTTCGTCGTGTAATTGAGGAAAGCGGCAATGTCAGAATCACTGTCTCAACTTCCTTCTAAAGATGCTCTACAGCTAGCTAGCTACTTAATATACTTGTGTGGTACTACGATGGATCAATGAAGCAAGCCTCGCCGTTTCAGTGAGCTGCTTCATCGGTGGATGTCTGGCATGCTAATCGTGTTCTCAGAATAGAGTCGCCATTTGCTTTATTCTCCTTCTGTGTTTCTTATACCCCCAACAATCAGTCCTCTGGGTCCTCCAGACATATTTGTGTTTTAACCTTCTGATATTATTGGCCCGCGTGCTTTTGCTTTATAGTAGTGTTCTTGAAACAAGCAGTTCTATTCGCGGCAGCTGCCATGTTTGATAAGCGAGATGCTGTATCGCTCTTCTGTACACGACTCGGAAGCTAGAGGTTCAGCCAGCTTTCTATGCATACCCATGCACAAACAGCCGTTTGCGCATCATGCATAAAGTAAATCCGATGTTTTGTCAAAACGGTCCAAAGCAATTCGTCCAGGTGAGGAGGAAGCTTTCTAGCCTTAAAGAGCGCCATCGTCAATTCCGCCCAGCTTCCACCGCCGGCAGACTTTGGTGGGCTTCGGACGTGACATGCATGGACTCTGACTTTTGGACTGTAATTCGCCACGACTCATCAGCGGATCAAAGTCTCGTATGTTGATGAACTGAGATCAAGATTTGCGGGCTTTTGACGATCGAAGGTGTCGATTTGTAAATTTGGCATCTGATCTTAGCAAGCCTACATCAATGATGACACCCTTGAAGCAACGAAGATTCTTCAGTCCTGCAGTTACGCCTCGACAATCTAAATGCTTGTTACGAGCTTCAGCGCGTGCTGCAGCTTGCGAAGGACGAGCATTGCATTGCTTAAGCATGCAAGCTTCCATCACAAGTCGTGACCTTCACGACAAGCTCTTGAAAACAAAGGCGAGCCGAAGGATGCGAGCCATTAAGGTCGGAAGGCGCGCATGCATCACCTTGTAGTATGCGCACGGGTCTGCAACAGACGGAGGTGGATTTTACAGCAACTGAGCGCAGGACGGACTTGGAAGGGCCGCCAAGCGGTGAGCTTCTTGAGCGCCGGCCTCTGATTGCATAAACGAGGAGGTGCTAATGATTTTTGTGCAGCAGGAAGTGCCGCTCACAAATTAGCATTCAGGATTCGTGACAGACGGCCAGAGATGGAAAAAGGAAAGCTTAAGAGAGACAGGTCAAGGGTGCGGCCATTCAGGCCATCAATCCCCAATGCCAGCGCGATTTCAAAGCTGACAACACGGGAATTTGGAGAGCGCGTGACGGAAAAGGAGACCGTTAGCTTAGATCTTCTGAAGCCGCAGTCTAGCAAGTGGTTACGAGAGATCTATAACGAGCTTTCATCTCACGATGCTGAGACGCGCTTCATTGCCCTCTGGAAATTCAAGGCTGTATACAATCGCATGGTGGTAATCAAGGGACCTGCAGCATGCGCAGAGGTCACAACCTACGTTCTGCAACAAGGGGCGATTCTTGCGGAGATTGTGAGACTCCTGAGGGCTGCGCAAACGCATGGCGACTTGTACTTCATTCCAAATCCAGGGGACTCACCTGACATGTTCAATATCTTCTCGAAGACAGAGCTGTGCTTCAGTCTTCTCCACACGCTGATGTTAGATTTCCCGCGCCGTCCGTTTTGTTCGGAAAGCAATACCGGACTTGATAGACCTCCAAGAAGCTTCGTTCTGTGCGGAAGCCCTCTATGACACTGAGTCTGGACAGGCTCTGGATGCTTCTTCGCAGCCACAGAACAAGAAGGCAGTCCTCTTGAGCATGGTAACGCTTGCTAGTTTCTCAAAGCAGGCAAGGGCGGAACTAGGAACGAAGACAGGCTTTCTTCGGCAGGTACTGACAGAATATGCAACAGCAGATGGATTAGAGAACGTCACGGTGACGGATTGCGCGATGCTTCTCGTCCAGCATTTGAGGAACACGTGTCCGCTTTCTGAGCTAGCTCTGGAGATCGTGCAGCTAGCCATGCGGGTTCTGGAAACGTCGACGAGAAAGGGTGTCATCGAGGTCACCATTCAAGTGCTGAAAGGGGTGATCCATGATGAGGGAGAGGCTTTAAAGGTGCAGACAAAAGATGCTTGCGACTTCTTCCCGCTTGTGGCTTTGGCCACCTCCAGCGCAGTACCGAAAGCAATGACGGCGCAAGCTGTGGTAATTCTGTGCTTCTTCGATGAGAGTGTCAAGCGTTCAAGGGGACCCAGCATGGAAGCAATCCTGCTCGACTCTCTATATCGCCAGCAGCACGGAAGCTTGGAGCCTTTGGCGGAGAGGCGCTCGAAGATATTGAAGAGGAAAAAGCAGCTTGAAGAGATATTCCAAGCACAGGGGTCGAGCACAAACACGCAGACGTTCGTCGGGCTTGGAAGCGATCCCATCAAAGACGCAAGTTCTGAAAGAGGGGACAATTCGTTTGAGATGGAACCGGAGCACCCGTTAGATCGCCCGCCAAACCGCACGGTCGTATCTGCTGTCGAAGAGCAGGAATTGAAACCCCGCAGAAAGTGCTCTCGTGCAAACTGTCCCAGAGTGGAGTCCAGCCCGCGGGACTTCAAACTGTGCGGCGGATGCCGTCTCGCAGTGTACTGCTCACAAGGTATAAGCCGCTCCATATTTTCGTTTTGTGCGGAGTGTTTCAAATCCCTTTCTGCCACCCTCCGTTATCACAACGAGATAAAAGATGAATTAAGAATCGGAAGAGAAGTCGCGCAGACAATCAATCCTTAAAAGTTATGCCAACATCGGTTCTATCGATCTTTGCTCTGTCTACCTGTGTCGACACACTTGGATATTTGCCCCACCCGCTGCACCTGCACAGCTTGAAGTCTTTTCCCCTGCGCTAATTAGTCAATCATGTTCTTATCGTCAGGAGTTGAGCAGTAAATCCCAAACCCGCCGTTTCTTCAGGCTACCAAGAAACGATCGCATCTTTTGTCGAAAGCCGCCGCTTAAAACAAGACGACCCTCGACGTTTCGTAACGAACTTCGTTCTGCTGAAATCAACCATTAGACGCATTCCTAATTGTCCGCACTCACAGAGCCACCAATCTTCCTTCTTCCGCAGATTGCCAGAAGACGGCTTGGAAAGAAGGACACCGGGAGCAATGCACAAAGGGTAGATCGAAGGATGAGAGAAAGTTATAAGTCAAATACACTCGAGAAGAGTAGCTAGAGCAGATTTTCGGAACTCTGGAATCCGATTCCAGGTGACCGTTCTCGTGCTGTCAAAGGGACAACGTGGTTGCAGACTGCAAATTTGGCAATACGGTATGGTTGTTTCTGACGTGGTTCATTCAGCGGAGTCCCGACTCTTTTCGGTTTACTGGCGCCGGGACGTGGCCAGATGTGCAACCCTGAGCAAGGATGAACATGATTGACGGGCAGCCGAAGAATTCAAGCGCGAAACGCCTACTGCTGTCATGATTGGGTGTATTTTGATTATCCACTGCCCACCGGCCACTTGAGTGGTGATCAGAATATTCAATGGACCATGTCTCAGGTTCAGACGCAACAAGGTAATTCTCGAGCCGCGCGGGCTCTATTGCATATTCATGCAGGCGCGCTCAGTTTCCACATATTATGTCAGTACGTGTCACAGTCGATTGCATCGGTGCAATTGATCGGTCCGCTTCATCGGCCCGCTGTGTCTTCGAAGAAGCCTTGAAGTTGATCAAATAATGATAATGGTTGCACTTACCACAATCTGTAAGCGAATGCAGTTGTGTAGACGAAAAAACTGGTTATGGTGCACTTGTCAGAATCAAAGGTCCACCCTTTTGCGTGAAGCCGCATGCGCATCATAAGATGAGTCCACGAAGTCGTCAAGAGGGTAGTGGACCTTTTGTGATCACTTCTTCTTAGGCGACGTGAAACTTTCAACCTCGGAGAGTCCCATGATTGACAATTCCGACCAGCTTAGGGCGTAACATATCGACTCCAATTTTTTCACTTTGCCTGATTAAAAATGCATGACACTGCACAGAGCTGCAGGGCGGATCACAGTCGTGCGTGACGATGGACCGAGCAGACGGTCTGTTGAAGATCGAAGGTGAAAATTTAGCTGACGTGTTCTTGACATGCTGACGTCATCGTCGAATGAGACCGTTGGTTCCTGCCGTATGCTCCTCGACGTGACGCGCGTACGGTGCGCGTGAGCTTCAACGCTTGCTGCTTGCTGGCACGTCGAGCTTGGCATTGGAGCATGCATTGCCCTGCGAGCACGCTCCCAATCAAACGTTTGACCTTCGCCACCCATTCTCGATGACAAAAAGGAGCCGGACGCTGCAAAGCGATGTTGGAAGCGCGCATGCCAGTCATCAATCTGGCAAGCATGCACTTTGCGCACTATTTTGCGAAATATTGATCGTGAGATTGTCAAAACGGATCGCAGGATGAACCTGTAAGGGCCGCCAGCAGGCGCCATGGGCCATCTCCAGCGCCGGCCCTTGATTGCTAGAGCACTGTACGTGAGAGGGTGCTGTTGATCGATCAGCTTTGAAATTTTGCGGCAGGAGCTTGTCGCTCACAATCGAGCATCTAGGCTCCTTCAAAAAACGCAGAGATGGAGAAAGAAAAGCTCGGAAAAGAGGAGCCAAGGGTGCGGCCATTCAGGCCATCAAATCTCAATCCCAGCGCGATTTCAAAGCTGTCAAAAAAGAATTTGAGGAACGCGTGACGGAAAAGGAGACCGTCAGCTTAGATCTCCTGAAGCCACAGTCTAGCAAATGGTTGGAAGACATCCACAAGGAACTTTCATCTGACGATGCTGAGACGCGCTTGATTGCCCTCTGGAGGTTCAAGGCTGTACACAATCGCGTGGCAGTGTTCAGAGGACCTGCAGCATGCGCAGAGTTCACAACCTTCGCCCTTCAAAAAAGGCTGGTTCTTGCGGAGATTGTGAGACTCCTGAGGGCTGCGCAGGTGCATGGTGACTTGTATTTCTTCCCTCTTCCTCGAGATTCACTCGAGATTGACGACTTCTTTTCCAAGACACAGCTGTGCTTCGGTCTGCTCAACACACTGATGATGGATTCCCGCGCCGTCCGCCATGTTCGGAAAGCAATACCGGACTTGATTGACCTTCAAGAAGCTTCATACTGTGCGGAAGCCCTTTGTGACTCCGGTTTTGGAGAGGTCTTGGATGCTCATCAGCAGTCACAGAACAAGAAGGCAGTCCTCTCCAGCATGGTAGCACTTGCTACTTTTTCAGAGCAGGCAAAGGCGGAGCTAGGAAAGAGGACAGCCTTCCTCCGGCAGGTGCTGGTAGAATGCACAGAAGCAGATGGATCAGAAGACATGACATTAGATTGCGCGATGCTTCTCGTCCTACATCTGAGAGGTGCGTGTCCATTTTCGGAGCTCGCACAGGAAATCGTGCGGCTAGCCATGCGAGTCCTGGGAACGTCGATGAAGAGAGAGGTCATTCAAGTGACTATGGCAGTGCTGAAAAAAATGCTCAGAATCGAAAGGGAGGCTTTGAAGGTTCAGATAAGCGACGCTTGCGACTTCTTCCCGCTCTTGGCTCTGGCCATCTCTAGCGCAGTTCCGAAGGAATTGACGGCACCAGCTGTGGAGATCTTGTGCTTCGTAGAAGAGAGTCTCGAGCAGCCAATTGAATCCAGCATCGAAACGATCCTGCTTAACCTTGTATCTCGCCAGCAGCACGTGAGCTCAAGGTCTCTGGACGACGAGAGTCTCAAGCTCTTGGAGCGAAAAGAGCAGTTTGAAAAGATGTTCAAAGTACAGGGTTCGGGGCCAATTGCACAGCCGCCCATCGGGCTCGGCAGCGAGGCCATTGAATACGCAAGTTTCGAGAAAGGAGCAACTTTATTTGAGATGGAACCAGAGGACCGGCTAGAGCGCTTGCCAAATCGCACAGTTGTATCTTCGGAGCCAACTTGGAGACCTCGCAGGAAGTGCTCTCGTGCAGACTGTACCAGACTGGAGTCCAAGCCGCAGGAGTTCAAACTGTGCAGCGGATGCCGTCTTGCTGTTTACTGCTCGAGAGGTGATTCTCCCTTCATTTATGCTGTCTGCGAGGGTTCGTATATTTCTGTCACGATGCTTCGTCCCATTGAGTGCAGAGATTGGTGAATTTTGGAAAAAGACTTCATGTAGCGAGCGACCAATCCTTGAAAGGTCTGTCTACTTGATCCGGATCAATCTCCATGGTTCGTCTATTTGTGGCGTTAAGTTCAGAGCTAGGATCTCTCGTTACTGCTCCAAAGTTTTCCGAACCAGGGATCTCACCAGAGTCCGTCATGATTCACTGATCATGTAAGTGGAGCACTCATAGCGGTTCCTTTCGCCAGCGAGTAAGAGGGACTAAGTAACGTGTCCAGAACACCGTGTGAAAGAGATCAAATACGTGAGGTTTCAAACTCTTTTTTCGTCTTGACAACATCAGAAGAAGCATTGCAACAGTCTACTTGAGAGTCTAATAGTTACGCCAGTTCTTCTCCTTTCGCAGACTGTCAGAAGAGGGCTTGGAAAGAAGGACACCGGGAGGAATGCACAAAGAGCGGTTTGAAGGGGAAGAAAAGGAACATTAAATGAAGGCGAAAAGTTGCTGGAGCAAAGCAAGAACAAGCTACTTTCGAACCTAGTGCCAAGCGACCGTTCTCATGCGGCTCGAATAACAACCTGGATCAGAGTTTCTCCGTTTGCATTACGGGCCAGCTTCTAGCGAATCCCAATAAACTCGAAATTGAATGTTCCAGGGCACGTATTAAGCGAGATTCTGATCCGGTCCGTTTCTGGCGCCGATCCGATTGTATGGCGGCCTTGACGGTGCAGGTTAAGCAGACAGTTGGACGGCCAATGCTTGAGAAAACTCGAAACAAATTCCAACAGCATGCCAGGCTACTATATTCGTTGAAGCTGTTCTGTGAGCCGGTACTAAGATGTGGAGCTGTTATGCTTGGTCATACCATACACAGTCTCGATTTCTGGCGTGCTAGTTCGATCAACATGATTGCGTCCGCTTCTGTGCATCCAGGCTTTTGATCCCATGTGATTGCAAGCCTGGTAACGCCTCGACCGCATGGATGGATCTAAATTCGTTGCACGTTTTGAGCTTACTTTCAGCCGCATTTCTCAGCGCGAGTCGCTCAGAAGCCGACCCTCAATCATGCAATTTTGACATGTTTGGAGATTGATACTTGCTATTTTTAAGCTTACTCGCTATCTTTGAGTTATACTGGGCCGGGCCCGGTCCGCTGACGGATAGCATGTTGAAAATTCTGCACCTGTATCATTACTGGCGACATCTTTAAAGCCAATGATATCATAGTAACATATTGAGTTGTATCATGCAGTCACTGGGCGGCTTATAGTACATGCATGACGTGCGGTCGTCCATGATCAATGCTTTTTAGTGCTAGACCCGACCGCGCCCGCTGCCTGCCACATGCACACGTGTGGGCACTGGGGTTTGATGAGCAGCTTTCAATCCATGGCTGACCTCAGCATATGCATGCACTGAGCGCTGATTGGCTCGACTATGTGCAACTGATACACTGCATTGCATGATACGTGTGCACACCATCATGATTAGGCCTGATGAGGAGCATGATCACGGACGATTACTGGGCCCCCGTAGAATGAAGGCCATTGAACGGGGCCGAGAGCTCCATGCACAAAGACCACTTCCACAGACCGGCTTGCGAGATAATCATGGTCTCATGCACACTGCCAGGCTCGCGGTGAGATACAACCGCATAAGTTGTCACCGTGCCAGCACGTGCCCCCTGCGTGACGCGAGCCTCTGTGAGGATCAGTCACACTGCTTGCGCTTAGGGGCAGAGTTCTTGAGAATCGTGGAGCGCAAGTAGTTACTCTTTAAGATAATCTGTCCATATGAACGGACGCCAATAAACTCCGAACACCGTTGAACCAAAGTAAAAGCCTCGAGCAATAAATTAGGCTACCTAAACCACCTCATACGCCAATCTCTCAACCCTCGACAAAAAAGCTAGCTCTACATCGCTATCACCGCCCCTCATTGATCCCCGTGATGTCGTACTGCGTCGTATTATGCAAGACCGTCGAGCTGTTCCCTTGACTCCAGCTAAAGTGAGTCGCCGCGGGCGAGCTCCCCGAGCCCGCGGAGCTCGGCCGCACGGGCGTCCGCCGGGTGCCGCTCCCGGCCCCGAGACTCCAGTCGGAGCTAGTGGTCGGGTACACGTCATGCACATCCCCCGACCGCTCGGGGGAGCCGAGCGGCGATGCCGGGACCGACCCGCTGGGGTTTAGGGTTTCGAGCGTGCGCAGGACGTCGAGCATCGGGGGGCGCCGGTCGGCGGACGGGTTGATGCACGCGAGCGCGAGCTGCAAAAACTTCTCGGCCTGTTCTCGGAAGTACTCGCCGTTCAGGCGGGGGTCCATGATGGTCAGTGGCTGTTGGTGCCGCTTCAGCACCTGCGCACGGAGAGAAGAGCGTCAGAATTACAACTCTGCCTGAGAAGGTGCTGGACTGATATGCTGCGTTATGTGTAATGTTTCTGGTGGCGACTGTCTTGCTCTTCTGTGCTGGTCGCCAAATTTTGGAACACTTGTAAAAGACCGCAAAGGCTGCAGACGAGGTATCCGACGTCTAGCTTCAATTGGTTCGGGTGCTGGCTGAGAACGTTCCCGGCTGTGACGGAACTCTCTCCAGCCAGAAAGATTACGGCAACCAGCGCACCAAACGCTAGAACCTGCAACGAACGGTATGGGGCAACTTCGCAAAGACACAGAAGTGTTGCACAGAACGCATCTCGAAACGAGTGCGGGCTAAGGAGACTTAACGACGAAACTCTGCATTTGTCAGGAGAGATCGTTTGTCTCCTGTTCATGGCGGCGCCAAGGCCATCGAGGTAGACATTCTCCGTAACCCAGGAAAGGTTTGCCTGTTGCTTCAGGGGGCGGAACATTTGAACTACGCAGTCTGTGACAATGCCTGCGAAAACCAGTAAAAAATGGTCGATGAGCGCTCATGAGAAGACCAGATTTTCCACTTACCCAGTCTGTCAGCGTGCGCCGCTCCCCAGACTGCGCGACATCGAGAGCCTTGAGCCCAGTGATGATTTCCAGTAGTACCACGCCAAAGCTGTAGACGTCAGTCTTCTTTGTAACCTGGCACGGGAAGCGGGAGAGAGCGTTATGGCGCAGGCTAGAAGAATATTCCAACCTGATCGACTCTCCTCACACTTCTGTTTCAGAGGAGAACGAAATAGTGCGTGGTGGCATGAGCAAGGACTGATGCACGTCCGGCGAAGCAAAGGGAAAGAATGGTTTACGAAGGCGTGCGGTTTCATCGGACGAAGGAAGACTTTGCTTGGCATCGACGAGGAATCGTGAGGCATCTTGCATCATTTGAAAGCCAAGACTTCTTGACAGAGGAAAGAAGTACAGCAAAGCGGATGGAGGCCTGACCTGTCCGTACATAGCGTATTCTGGTGCCACCTGGAGCACACAACGGGATAAGCGCGTGAGAACGGTGACGGTATGTGAAGTCAAGCCGCTATCCGAAACCAGGGAGCTATTTGAGGCGACGACGCCCGTAATCTGACAGGCTGAGCAAAACGAGCTTACGTGCAGATAAGTTAAGAACGGCTTACGGATCGGTATACAGCATGCCTTGCTTCCACTTAGCGCAAGTGACAAGACCCAAGCTTCGGCTTGAAAGCGATTCAATCTCGATGCAAGAATGACAGATAGGTGTGCATCAGCGATGCGGCAAAGTGGGCTTGCAAGCGACTTATGCAGTCTCGACAAGGTAGAGTGTACGCACATAGCCTGCAAAAGGGCGAAATCAGTGGTCAGTCAAAGTGAAGAAAACGGACTTCAAGGACTGCCGATATGCAATTGAATAGATACTGGAGAACAGGATAATGGTGTTGGACTACTTGCTTACAAGCACTATCCTGTTGGAGGAACTGATCCGTCGGACTGGCCTCTGATCCTTTTGACCGCCCTGTCCATCGCTTTCACTCTTTCGCGGTATACAAAAAGAAGGTGGATGCACGAGAGGAGACCGGAAGCATTTCTTTCAATCTCGACAAATTTCGAAGCATGCAAGCCACGCCATGCCCAGTATAAGCCGGCAATCACCCCATGCGCTACACATTTCTGCCCACAGGTTCGCAGCAGGATGGACTAACGGTGCCAAGAGCTCACCGTAAGTTCCCCGTACACGCGTGCTGTGATGCGTTTGGCCGGAGTCGAGCAGCTTGGACAGCCCAAAGTCCGCCACCTGGCAACTCAAGAGGCAGCCACGTCAGCAGCGTAAAATGGCACCGGGGGAATGCGAACGGCGATAAGGCACAAGAGACGTGACGGACGCGCTTGTAGAAGCAGACCACTTCGATGACGAATCAATGTGATGGCAAATCGACTGAACGAGGTTGATTTATGGAACCACGTCTACTGGGGTGGAACGTCGGCCCTCTTAAACATTCAGGCCTGCAAACATTCTTGAGCATTCGAAGATTGGCCCCCATTATGCAATTGGGAATGCAGACTCCTTAACAAACTGGTCTCTTGAGATAAGATTTATCAAAACTCGATACCAGGCGGTAAACCCCTCCGACCTTGTCCTACAGTCGGCTAATCAAAGACTTCTTCCAACAAGTCGCTCGACACGCATCTTCCCATTTGTCGCGCTCCTAGCATGGCACGCTTAATTCAAGTCATTAACTCCTCAAAGTACAAAACCCTACCTCCGCCTCCCCCTCGGAGTCCAGCAGAATGTTCGCGCTCTTGATGTCCCTGTGAATGATGGTGGGCCGGCAGTCGTTGTGCAAGTACGACAGTCCCCTCGCAGCGCCCACCGCAATGTTCATCCGCTGGGGCCACGTCAGAGGCGGCCGGGTGGCTGCCAAACAAAACGGATAGTGGGTCGACGTTAGCTAGAATTCTGTGATTTGAGAAGGTTGTAATCTTGAGAAGAGCGGCTTACAGTTGCGAGTGCATGTTGAATAGCCAAAATATTTTGCCCTAAATTTCGCTGGGAGCATCAGACACGGTGTTGCTTCGGTTAGGTCAACGAAGCTGGCAAGTCCGGATTCTGACAAATCTGCTCAACAATACGCTTCTGCTTCGGTTAGAACGACGAAGCTGGCAAGTCCAAAATCCTGACAAATCAGCCAACGCAACGCCCACAAGTCAGGAAACTGCCAATGTCAACATATGGTAAGAACGCTGTCATCGTCACCGACACGCGACTCCTGCAACGATTTGCGGAGGAATAAGTACTGGGCTCGAAAGGCACCAGGAAAATCGTGTAACAAGGAAAATTGTTTCAGGGGGTACTCACGGCTCCTGAGCGCCTGGTCCAGGTTCCCCCCCGCCGCAAAGTCGAGGATGAGGAAGCAGTCGGCGGCAGTAACGCAGAAGCCCTTGAGGGCGACCAAATTGCGGTGGCGCACGCGCCCCAGGGTGCCTAACTCCGACAAGAACTCGCTCTCCGCTTGCCCCTGCCAAGAGAGATCCCAGATGTAGACGCAGTTTCGGTTTTGCAATTAAGCAGCGGCGGATCAAAGCTGTTTAGCCGTTTGTTAGCCGCAGGTATAAAAAGCCCCTTAATAGAGCAGACGATGTTCCTAAACCTTCGGACTTGGCAACGTCATGCTTTGAAGGGTTTTGACCTTCAAAAATGTGAGCTCAGATAGTCCAATTGAGAGGTCAGGGTGAGGTCCATAGCGGATTGTAAATGGAAATGGACGTTGACATGTTGAGAGCAAGCCCATGTGCACTAAGAGTTGTGTCGCCGACAAATGGCCGCACATGAGACTCAGCAAGTATGCTAACGGCAGAATGCTGGGAGCCAACACCTCCCCTTGCTTTACGAACGTCAGAATTGCCTATCGATGTTGTGTAGAACTCAACATTTTCACAGAAAAGGCCTAGGAAAAAGCAAGATTCAAATCATATACTACGGAAGACATTCTTCAAAAACATTCTTCGCAGAAAATATTCTGATCAGGCACCAACTTGGCCTACCCGGAGTAATTGTAAAGGAAGGACACAAGGTGAGAGGCAAAATATAGAGCAGTATCACTGATCCGGTTAGACCCCCACCTGCTGCGTGTTCTTCAGGTGCTTGACTGCAAGCATGGTCCCGTCAGCAAAAGTGCCCCTGTATACCTGCACAAAATGAAACAGTATATACACGTTGTCAATGTAGCAGCCTGAGAAGGTCGCACTCAAGATGAGGCTGTACCCGTCTGTCGAACCACAGGCATCAATCTCGTCCTCTAGCAGGGCTTGGTCCGTTTGTTCGGGATCGTGTCTGAACCGGAGTAAAGCGAGCCTACTACCGTTCCCACGTTGAGAAAGGGGTGCAGTTGCTGTGACCAGCCGTTGTATCGGAGTGAGCAATCAGTCCCTTGAGATGTAAATTGCCTCTCCTTCGGGGACGCGAAGCAAGAGCTGATGAGCCTCGGACAGACCTCCAAGAGAAGACTCACTGCCTGGAACGGGCAAGGCTTCAAAGCTTCAAAGCTCGACACTTTCTCCTGCGTGCTCAGATTCAGAGCGCTTCCCGAAAGCAGTTGCCAGACTAGAAGCCTTACCAAGCCAAAGCCTCCCTCTCCAAGAAGGTTCGCGGCGGCGAAATCGTCAGTCGCTTCCTGAATCTCCGGGTAGCCGAAGCGGCGGAAGGTGCCAAACAGGGCCTTATCAGCAATGTCCTCACGACCTGCGCACGGAGGAAAAAGGTGAGGGGGTGGCAAATTGAAGACAGATCTTCTGGCAGGGGTTCTTGATAAGTCTCCAAAAGTGGGTCTTCTGAAAGACTGTTTTGAAGCTTTGAACAGCAAACAGACTTTCGAAAAACTTCCCCTTCGAAAGAAGAGCGGACGAAGAAATCCGACCGAGGAGTCATGTGCAAAATTTCCAGCGGGATCGTGAAACGAAGGCCCTGGAATGGGCGCAAAATCCTTGAGCAGGATCGTGGGATCTTTTGGGCGAAAGATCCTGGAAAAGGACACTGGAAGGAACCAAGCAGAGGGTCCTCTAACGGTTCCCTGATCTTCTCCAACTAACCGGGAACAAGAACTCAGAAGCGGAATCACCTGGGGTAGGAAGTGGGCTGTCCCCCCCCCTGGAACTCGCCGCTCGCGCACTTAGCGGCCTCTCCAGCGCCTTCGGGGGCTGCGCAAGCTCCGGCGGCGTTATGGGGGGGGGCAACCGCGGCTTCCGCTTCTTCCGGCGTATCAGCAGAGCGATGACGGCGAGAACTAGAGCGAGGCCAACAACTCCCCCCACGACTGCGCCGATAATGACACCGATGCTTGAACCGCCCCCCCCGGAAGAAGTGTTGGTCGTTCCGGGGGCGTTGCTAGGGGTTGGTCCGCTGGGGGTGACGCTGACGCCGCTGCCGGAGGGGGGGGTGCCACCTGGAGGACAAGGATTGGCCATTGAACTCAAAAAAATTAATTATCAAGCCGAGATAATATAATTTAACCGCACTGGGACGGGTAGGGTTAGTTTGGTGCTTATGGTGGGTATGGGCGCGGAGGAGGTATCTTTTTGGGTAGGGTTTTCAGTGTAAGTCGAAGCTTATATTATCTTGGCTTGGTAATATCTCTTTGAATTTTGTGGATTGGCCGCCGCTTAGACGAGATAAGAGAGAGTGTGATGCACGGAATGAAGTGGAGTGTGAGCGCGCGACTTTCGCTGGCTACAACAGAAGCTTTTTGAATAAACACGGGCTAACGGTGGAACACCGACGACTCAGTGAAGTTTCTTCGTAATTAATAATCCAGTCCCGTGACTGAAAAAGCGAACAATATCTGCGCATTCAATCCTTCAAGTGAAAAGCGAGTCGAACAAAAGCCGCAAAACTCGGCTGCAAATCTGTCCGAACAAAGACAGGAATTTGGATGCAAGGACGCACAAGGAGCGGTGCACTCACTCGTCAGCTGTGCCGGTTGCCCTACGCTAGTCACAAGCACCTCTCCATACTGTGCCGTGCTCAGGTTAAGCGGCTGCCCCTGCTGGAGCACGCCTGAGATTCTTGACACTGTCGCGTTGTCCAGAGTGGGCCCAGAGAGCGGGACGACGTTGGTGTCAAGCAGGATGCTGCCTTGCGCCACGTTGGTGTAGAGGATCTGGGACGGCTGGACGCCGATGAGACCCGCGAGGTCGTTCGAGAACGACTGCACGGGAAAAATTTAGGATTTGTTTCTGATCGTCCAGTTAAAGAAGTTGACAAACATAGGAACAATCGTTCTGATAAGCTTTGAACTTTGAAGTTCTCGAGCGGAATATTTGGCAAAACGGATTTGTTTGTAAATGTCCACGGGAAGAGGCAATCATGAACTAATCGTTCTGAACTTCGACGTTCGAGCGGAGGGTTCGGCCAAAAGGAGTGGGCAAAAGAAAAAGCGAAGCGAATGGAAAGGGCTTTTGAATTTCCGCAGATAAAGGATAGGACAAGAGAAAATCGTGAGGTCAATTGTCAGGAATTAAAGGACAGGAGGGGCACATGTGAGGAGTAGGTATGGGGAATCAGACAGAGACTAGACCAGGGCAAATCACCTGTTTGCTGCAACATCTCGTTGGAAGAAGGAGCTGTGTCTTCACTAAAGCAGAAAGCCAGAACAGGTCACGCTGAAAACCGCTAATTCTAAGCATAGCCAAGAAATACGGGTAGTATCTAATCACAGACGACTGGAGGAGGGGGCCGATGGGGAATTGATAAACAACACTTCAGTCGAGTCTGCCTGCTTCTGAATTATTTTTCAGGAGGCCTGCTCGAGTATTGCAAACCGTGGTCAAGGTCTCAGACTTCGAAGCAGTGGCTGGAGCCAAAAGATAAGAGCATTTGTGGTGCTAATCAACTACTCCGAGCAGCCAGAGAACGGTGTAACGCGCTTCTTAACCCGCAGCTTTGCACTCACCGACGAAAAGATCGTGGTCCAGTCCGCCAGGTTCCTGTTGACCATCCGGTAGCTGGCAGTGAGCGGGTAGTTGCAGCTGCAGGCAAGAGCGGTTGCCGCGATCCCCGGGGCCTGCCCGGTGGGGCACGTGCAGACGGGGGGAGGGGGCGAGGCTGGCAGACAAACGCCAAGAAGAGCATATGAGAGTTCTGTTGACTTCGTTCAGGAGAACGGCTCATAAAGGGTGTGATTTTGCCTGGACCGAAGTCCCCAATTCTTGGATCGATGCGTCGAGTTTGGGTGCCCTTCAAATTCAAAGGAAAAGGGGCTTTTGGCTTGGCCTTTTGGCGGCGGAAAGCAGAGCTCTTTAAAGATAGCAATCTGGTCGACCAATGAAACTCGGATGAGGCACTCCGTCAACTAAAACCTTAGCAGGGACTAGCTGCTACGGAGCTTTCGAACAACATGTGCAAGCCAACGAGCAACTGACATCGATCTAGAAGACATCCTTCCAACGTCAGATTGGCACTCTAATATTGAGCCCATACCTGGGCCGCCCAACAGGCCACCAGTGGGAGCCGGGGGAGACGGAGTCGCTGCCGGGGGGGGTGGCGCAGGAGGGAGGGTCGCTACTTCTGGGGGGGGGAACGCAGGAGGAAGAGTGGTAATGATTGGGGGGGGTGGCCTGACGTCAGGGGTGACGATGACAGGAACAGTTGGCAGGGGCGGGGGAGGGGCTCCTGTAAGAGACGAAAACTAGCATGGGAATGGTTTCTGAACTGAGGAGCGCAGCGCGGAGGCTAAGCTCAAGCTCAGCTGTCACTGTTACGGAGAGAGACAATTTTGCTCAGGGCACATACATCCAATGACGACTGTGCTTTCACGGATGGACCAAGTCAAAATGGACATCCTTCCAGTTGAGAACCTTGAAGCTCAGGCCTACGAAATTGCAACCGATGGCTGCAGCGCGTTGGTGCCAAGACAGCAGCTTGCGCAGTGGAGCATCGACAACAGCCCAAGTGACCGTTTCAACATATCTAGGTAGGAGGGCTTCTACTGATTGCTTACAGGAAGGAGGGCTCCACTACTTGCTTACAGGAAGGAGAGTTCTACTATTTGCTTACCTGGCGGCGGCGGATTGGGCGGCGGGGGGGGTGGAAGAAGAAGCGGAGGCGGGGCCGACGCATTTGTTTCTATTGGAGGGGGTGCAGTCGCGTTTGTAGCAACGGGAAAGGTCACATTTGGTCTTGGGGGGGGAAAGGCGGGGGGAGGGGGGTTCAGAGGCGGGGGGGAAGATGCGTTCGTGGCGAGGGGGGGTGGCGGCGCGAGGAGGGGGGGTGGCGGGGGGGGTGACGACGCGTTTGTTGCTAGCGGGGGGGGTGACGATGCGTTTGTCGCTAGCGGGGGGGGAGGAGCGAGCAGGGGAGGAGGGGGGGAGGTTACATTGACCGTTCCGTTTGTGGGGAGCGGAAGCGTTCCGTTGAAGATCGGCCCTGGCGCGGGGGCCGAGACGGGACCGGTGACGTTTGCAGTTGCGTTGACCGGGAGGGGCAGCGTAACGTTCGCAGCGTTCGGGCCCGCGGCCGTTACGTTGGTCCGGTTGGCAGACGGGGCGGGGGCCGGTACGGTCACGTTGAGAGGCAACGGAACCGTTCCGTTGATGGCTGTTCCGTTCAGAGTGCCCGTTCCGTTCAAGGGGACCGTTCCGTTCAGAGCGGTTCCGTTTGCGAGACTCGTTACGTTACCCGCTGTGGTGTTTGTAAGAGTGCTGTTTCGGGAGACAGGGGAAGGGGCCGGACCCGGCGCAACTAGGATGGTGGCAGGGCCTGGCGCGGGCGCTCCGGCTGCCGGGCTCGAAACTGCAAATTGGAGGGGTAAAGAGGTGAGATGAGCTGGGCTCAGAACTTAAGAAGCGGGGCGGTTGAAAGGTAAGAACTTGAGAGAAACGGCATTATTTCAGTGGCGACTCGCCAAGGCAGACAGGCCAGGCCGAAGGTGACAAGACGCTGATTGACGTGCTCGAAAAGATCTCAGAAGCGTTAAGGATGGCCGTATTTAGGCTCAGGTCAAGGACAGAAGACAAGCTGAGAAGCTTCAAGACAGACTGCTCCATTGGGGTGTCGAACCATCCTTAAAGCGCAAACAGGGTAGCCAAGCCACGAGAAATGTACGCACTTATAGACGAAAGACTGCGAATGCCTTGATTCTCTCGCAATCATTGAGCTTCAAGAAGTTACCGGTATGTCGGTCAACAATCAGACAGACTGTTCTTAACAGACGCCACCCACTACCGTCCGACAAAGCTCACCGGCTGTCAGGCTTGCAAGCGCTGCCAGGCTCGTAGACGCGCCAGTGTTCCCTAACAGCAGGCTCGAATTGCTGGCCCCCAGGCACACGTAACCGTTCCCACTGAACCCGTTGCGGCAGGCGCACGTCAGGTTGGCGGTCCGGGACCCTGGGGTGCAGACCGCGTTTGCGTCGCACGGGTTGTTGGGGCCGCAGTTGCAGTACGCGCAGTCTGCAGAAACAGACGACACAGAGTGCAAATTGTGCTTTTTTTGTTTTGCTTGCTTTTGGTTTCGATCTTCCAGTGTTTGCTTTGCTTTTTGTTCTTTGTTAAGGATACTTTCTGATCAGTAAGAGGCAGGCCTTCTCTGTTGGTCACTGGTGAATGCTCTTACCGGCAAGATGCTCGGGAGCTCCGGTACTTATGCTGGCCCAAACTCTAATTGGGGTCTTTCAAGGCTTGCTTTTGAGTGAGTTGCTTCGTCGATCGGATGCTGGCATATACCACAGGCCGAAAAGGAGCCAATGAATCACATGAAGTTTGAATCAAAAGGCACGCACATGCCTGGACATTCGATAGAGTCTCTCACCTGTCGCAAAGACTCCCCCCACGTCCGAGATGAACGCCAGGTCCGTCGGTGCGACCGGACAGAAGCGCGTCGCCTCGCTGTTTGTAGACCCCGCCGCAAACAAGCTCGTTCCCGTAGTGGCGCTGTTGTTCACAAAAAGCTCCGGGCTACAGAAACTGGTCTGCGCGACGCTGTTCGAGACAGCGCCCCCCTGGGGAGCGGTGTTTTGACTGAAAGCGTTGCCGCTGAGAACAGTGAACGCGGTGCTCACAACCGCGCCACTCTGAGAGGCCCCGTCGTCGTGCACAGCGCCGCCGCTGACCTGGGAGGAAAAGAGGGGAAACGTTGAGAACAAGGCCCCGAGTGGACCCCGTGCTTTTACAAGAGTTCCGCGCAACTTTGACAAGGGGAACTTGGGATATCAAGCAAGGCTTATCGTGTTGTCCAGTGTTTCGAAGCTCTTGGACGGGTGAAATTTGGACAAACAAGCCATCAGATTGGCCACCTCAGTGTCAGTCATCCATCACTTCAGCTTTTTGTGTGTCTCAGGCAAAGTCCTCCGCCCGTGCTTGCCAGGGGTAGGAGTTGCACCAGCTTGCTTCCCAGGCTCGCCTCTCTTTGCTTCTCGCGACAAGGGCCTGCTCTGTTTACGTAAGCTGGCACCGTTTTCCGAGGAGCAGTCGATTGTAACTTGCCAACTCTTGCACTCTTGACAGTCCCGTAGAAAAAGAAGTCGTTGTTCTGTCGCTTGTTTTCTGACCCTTTCGTACTCAGGTTTCGCGACTCACTGTGGCCGTATTTCCGGCAAATGTGTTGCCCCCGATCGACGCATTCACTGTCCGCACCCCAACAAAGATCGCCCCCCCCTGCTGCACCGTCGCTCTGTTCCCCACAAACAGGCTCCCCCTCACAACCGCCGGAGCAGCTGTTTGTTGCAGGTAAACTGCGCCCCCAAGAGGCGCACTGTTTGCAAAGAAACTGGAGCTGAGGATCGAAGCAGAGCCCCCGGCCGCCTGGAAAGCACCCCCGCTGGCCGTCGCGGTGTTGCCAGTGAAGGTACATCCGACGAACGTGGCGTTCGCGCCATTGGAGAAGACGGCGCCGCCTGCAGCAAACAGAAAGAAGATTCTTTGGCTGCTTAGGGTCTCCGGATCTGTGGTTTAAGGGAAGCGTTTAGCTTTTATGAGAGCTTGAGTGGTTGATGTCGAGGTTGCGGGAGGAAAGATAGTCGACGTGGCAAGCAGACAAGATGATAGAGTTGACCTCTCAGACCCTCAATCTTTCCCAAGGCCGTAGTTGCAAAAATATCTTGTTTGTAAGCACCCTCCGTGAAACAGGTGTGAAGCTACAGGTGTGAAGAAACAGAACTCAGTTTCGACTACGAGTTTCTAAGAAATCTACGATGCGAGCATACCTTCATCGGCAGCATTGTTGGTGAAGAGCACGTTGACAAAGGTGGTTACGGAGTTGGTGCTCAGCAGCACAGCCCCTCCCGTGAGGAGGGTCCCAGTCTGACTGGACAGTGCCTGGACATGAACAGCAGGTGTAGATAAGCCACGCCCTCAAGAAATGAAGGGCGACAACCGTAACAAATAATGTTTTGTTTCGGCACTGAATGGAGACAAGCAAGTCAACCTTCGAGTCAACATTCTGCTCATCCTTTTGTTTCTCTTTTGAAGTGCAGCCACGCATACTTGTGCGCTAGCAACATCAAGGAAGGGCGTCAGGATACGACACACTCGGCCAAGGCCAAACATGACGACTTCAACGTTTCAACGGCACTGCTCCTGGAACGAAACGCACGGAATTTCAACCGTGCGTTGCCAGACACCGCAGAGTCGGAGGGGTGCTTACCACTCCAGAATCCAGCTGCAGGTTTCTGAAAAACACAGGCCCCGTAGACGGCGCCACGCTAAACATCTGGTTGACCTGCAAAGGGTTGGACCAAGGTCTAAATGCCTGCGCAATCTCTGCTCGCGCCAGATTCGATTGGTGGCGAGTAAGAGCGAAGCGATGGTTCAATCTAGCCCTTCTGCCAAACAAACCACCACCACAGAGTGGTTCCAGAATGCGCTGGTGCTTGTCGACAGACTGAAGAAGTGACATTTTCATTCGATGGCCCATGGGGCCATGAATGTTGTTTCTCTAGCAAGAACGAGCTGGACAGTGGCGCTCACAGTCCTAGGCAGGGCCGCCGAGATCTTGCATCCTGGGGCGCTGCAGTTGCCCTGCACTGTAAGTGGCGCCTTCACGACGAGCGTGGCGGTGAGGTTGACATTGCTGCAGGCATCAGGCGCCAGAAAACATTCTATTAGAGCAGTGCTCTCCTGACTGGGATCCTGAGTGGGCTCTGTTAGTACAGTACATCAAAACTTGACAGAGCCCAAGGATGCAGAATACGAATCGTTCGCCAAATCCAACCCCGTCTTGGCTATCAACCCAACAATTGACCACCAGATATCGTGCTTTTGATGCATCAAAATGGTCACTGAAAGAGGTGGTACCCAAAGCGGGGGCTGAACCCAGCAACAGGAGTCCTTGTTTCCTGTCCACAGGCTCTTTGAGGAAGGCTAGTCACAGGAAGTTCAGAGCCGCATCAGAAAGGTTTCTTATCCACCTCCGGTTATAGTCTGCGACATCATGGCCGTGCAATGGGGATCCCTTGCCAACATTTTTGATCAGGATCGGACATTTAAGTCCGCCTCTAGTTTTACAGGTTTACAAGCTCGAGCCCTCAAGCTCCGGCAAAAGGCTAGGGAGATCTCGTGCTCAACTTATATGAGGTAACCTGGTCTTGGTGGTGGCAATCCAAGCTACAGCTTGAGGCCTCACCTACAGATTGTGACGACAGACCCTGACGTTGCCGCCGCTAGCGCCGTCTGCAGCGAAGACTCATCAGACACACCCTGACACACACGCTCAACTGCAATTCAGAAGCGCCACCATATTATGTTGCTTGTTGCTGAATCCTTCAAATGTTGAGTGTCTGGCAAGTCATGGGATTCAGTCTCACTAAGATGAACCATATTGCTCCATGTTCTCTTTAGCGGGGGCCAAGCTTCTAATTGGAGCGGAAATGCTGGGCATGCTCCAGGGGCTTATTGCCACCCAGCCAGTGGCGGCAGGCTGACAGCCTGTTTCACAAAGGAGCAGGCAACTACTTCTATGAGTATCGCATCTTGCAACGTTGAGAGAAAGGGCAAACATCTACAAGATCTCAGGAAGCTGCCACCTTCTCTAATAACAAGGTGCATCTCTTCACACACAAGCTCAAAAATGGTCATATGCTTACAGTTACCCGCACGCCATCAAGATAGCGCCTTGTGTTCTACTTGGTGTCAGATTGATCTGCATCGGCATTGCTCATCTACAAAGTATTCTTACCTTGCCCTGCAACCAGTCCAGCTGCAAAGAGGGCACACAATAGGAAACTTGCAGAAAGATGCATCGCAATTGCGCCCCCTATGGCCCGCACAATCCCGTGCCTTAGGCCAGCTCACTGTTCTTCCTTTTCCACCTCATTCCCAGATACTCAACTCCCAACCAAACAATTGGAAGCACTGATGACGTCAATCTCGGTAGCTACTCAGAAATAACAAGCATCGTCCCTTTCTACAGTGATCATTACAGATTGGAAGAACCCTAGTCCACCGCTTGAGCCAGCTCCAAGTTCCCTCAACTGTCCTACTGTACTCTGTCTTATTCAGCTCCCACCACTCGTTCCACACGGCACTTGAAATGGTGTCTTCAGAGTCGTTTTCCTGTCGGCTATCTTCCTAACGTAAGAAGTCTCCTGATTCTCCTCTGCTGTGGAGGCAGAACTTGTGAACGAAGGATCTGTGGTGTGGACAGTGGCGCATTGCATTGCAGGAGATTTATGAACACCTAGGGTCTAAACTCTAAAGGGGCAGTCTTCGAGATTCACTGGACCAATGAGGAGCTCCCATTTTACCACGTGGTCATGGACTCCTGAACATGAACGAGGTCCAGGTCGCCACTAGAATTGTATCTACCACCCGGCATCTAAGTATTGGCAATGGTATCAAAACTTAAAAGTCGAAAAGGGAAGGCCCGGGGGGCGTCAAAATGTGCATGTCGCGGCGACAAGCGTCCAGGGTGATTCAGAAGATACGTGGACGTCATCAACCATGATTAGTGACGTCACTAAAACACAGGGTTTGACGTACCGGTACGATTCCGGCCGGAACCCTAAAACGCCACCTCCTTTGTCAAGAGATCCGGATGCAGCCGTCGAATGGCGCCTGGCGCAGGATGTGAGTCAGGAATCGGATGTGAGGGAGGCCAGGAAGATACTAATAGGAGGCGCTGGCATGGCGTCTCTAGGAGGAGCACACTTCAGGCTAAGATCTTACAGCCTGCAGCTGCAGTTATTCGTTCACTCACCTTCTGGAGAAATACATAGGTAATGAGCTCAACTTCTAGGGGCCTCACATTTTGAGCTGCTGAGGGACGAACAGATTTGGGATTATGCACACCGTGTCCCGCGTTATGAAGCTCCTCGCGGACCGCAGTTCAGAGCTCGAGCTAAGGGATCAAGTAGCTGAAAAACAGAGCCATTTGCTGCATTAGCTGATGCATTGAATTCCCTCAATGAGTAGATGCTGGACTAATGTGACTTTCAACGTTTTCTAGGACACTTCAAGAATAAATGGCAGCTGAGAGGCATGGAAGTCTGTGGGAGGAACCGCGAAGCTTCTCTCCTTTTGCAGACTCACGTTACTGCAGGCTTGCATTCCTACAGGATGGGGCTTCGCAAGTGGCCTCCCTGCAGGACACAGTCAGCAGTGTCATTCAGCAGCTCCACAAGAGAGTATTCACACTACAGCAACAGTGCGCCCAGCGAGAGGCACTCCTCAACGACACTATGCTAGCACTGCGTCGCAGGGCCTCCAAAAGGCGTCAGAAAGAACACCAGGGGTGGGTCTCATACAGCAGGCTGCGCTCGCAGAATGCAGCCAATAGCGTGGCGCCACATGGCGGGCTGGCAGGTGACCAGGCCTTGCAGAAGGTGGTGGCTGGGCTGCAGTTTGACTGCCAGGTAGGGAGTGAACTGTTGCGGAAGATGCGGTGTAAATGGGCCCTGGCAGCGCTGTTTGGAGCTCGCCAAGTGGCGCAAGCTCAGCGGGCGCTGGCGGAGGAGGCGCTGTGGAGGCAGAAGGGTAAGGAAGCTTAGGATTGCCCTCGCAACCGGTTCGTATACTTCCCGTTTTGATAGGAAGGTGGTTGGAACAGGAAGGAGGTTTCGGCAAGTACAAAGTGGTGTTGAGTTTGGAGAGGGCTTCAGCTGGGAAGAAGAGTGCTGGGCGCGGGGATATTGTGTCTGATGGCAAGGTGGTGTGAAAACAGGAGGCCTAGACCTTGATGTAGCCACCTGTCTAGTACTTTTCGATATCTGTGGACGGGTCAGAATGTGATTATAGCGCTTTTTCAGCAAGCTACCGGATCAGAACACTGGAAGCTTAGAGTAGGTCAACCAAGTTTGAAAATCCTGTAGCCGAGAACTAACTTCGACTACTTTCAGATTAAAGCCAGTAGGTCTTTTGGAAAGGGCTGTGATATGGAGATGCCAATCCAACATAGAAATTCTCCTTCCCTCTGTACACAGCCCCTCCTCCATCCCTCCTTCTGGGCCCTTTGGCAAAGTGGTGTCAACACAGGAGGCCTGGGGCTGGAGGCAACCAGCTATCTATCAATCGCATTGTGAAGAACAGAAAACAAGGAGATTCTGAGTAACTACAAGAATTAAGAAAGAGTAAGAGCGTCGGCTCCCTCACTTCGCAGAGCCCCTCCTCCGCCCCTGCTTCTGGGCCCTCTGGCGCAACGTACTGCGCCGCCGCACCAAACACACCGGCACTGCCCGCCCCCGTGCCACTGCCCTCTCCTTCTGTCGGCGTCGCACTCTGGAACGCTTCCTCAGACGATGGATGGCCTACTCGAGAAGACGGATCATTCTTTGGGCGACGCAAGAGGCTGCGATGGAGAAATTGAGACGCAGAGTGCTGAGAAACGGATTGAGGGGATGGAGAGCTTGGCAAAAGAAGAAGGTTTGGATGAGGGACGCGGTTGAGAGGGCGCGCGAGTGGAAGGAGAGGCGGCATCTAAGGCTGTGCTTTTGGGGATGGCAAGGTGAAGCCGGCAAGAGGAGAACGTTGCTGGAGCGATTGATGTCCCCTGGAGCGAGGAACAAGGGTGAGTTGGCTACTAAACTTTTGTACTTCTGATGGTGACAAGGGGGAGCTTTCTTCTTGTAGGGCCTCACTTTGAAGGTTTGTCTGTTGGTGGTGCATTGATGGTTTTGGGATTGGACGATTGAAAGATGCAAACGCAGAGGGGTCTGATTGAACAGACACAGAGAGGCACTCGGTGCCAGGCATCGTCGGGGAGTATAGAGCAGCTAGACGGCCAGTTTGAGATCTTGAGAGCCTATCTGCTCTCAGTCGTTTGGTTTTGGAAACGACAAAGGTTTTGTTCGATGTTTGTTTACGACATAGCGGTTAAGGCATGGCCAGCACATTGATGCCTTTCCTTTGAGTCGTTCGCTGTGTTACGGCTTCAATTATTCTGGATCGTTGCTTCAAGTGAAGTGAGTCGTCTGGGGAACGATCTGGAAATCGTAGAAGAACTGTTATCCGAAGTTTGCGAAACCAGTGTTCGGTGGTTCGACCTAGGTCTCCGGCATGAGCTCAGCTTTGTTGATAAACGGTTGAAAGGTCGAATTGGACATCCAGAGGCTGATTGATCGGGTTCTACGATAACTCGGGGTATACCTGGTACGTATCCTCCTCTGAGAAGCTGATCAAAGTTCCTTCTCAACTCTAGCTAGTGCGAGCGTCTCTTCCACAAACGAATCACCACAGCATCTCGCCGTTTTCAGCATATGTTGCATTTACTCAACGATTTCACCTGATCTAATAGTCTCAACGGGAACGTCCGTTCTGACCGTCCGCTATGCACTTTGAAGCAGGTAGCGAGCGCGTTTTCACCCCTGCCCACTACCACGCGTCCCCCTCATGGGCGCCGAAAAAAGCACGCCACGTGGCATTGGTCTCCTTCAGCCACGTGGCAGCCCACGATCTCTCCAGCCCCAGGGGCCCTCTCGATCCGGGCGTTTCTCACTGGGCCGTAGCGCTGCTTCGAAAGATCGATTCTGCAATCGAGATCCGAACCGCTCAACAGTCGGCCGGACTTGAAGATCTGCCGAAGGAAAAGCAAGAGTACGGTCAGCTTCGCTCTGTTTTCGCGTCGGCGTCAGCCGGGGGAATCCGGAGCAGCCAGCGGCAAGAAAACGAGATCACAGCAAACACGTCAGATCCTCGGACGGGAGTGTTCACAATGGAGGACGCGTGTGAGCTCTATCACGCTCGCTCTGTTGCTCAGAGGGCACTCCTCGCCTGGAAGAATGAGTGTGAACGCACTCGAAGTGCAATGGACTTCGCACGTGCGTCTGAAGAGGTTCTTAGAGCAACGAGAATACTTCGCGGGTGGCTGTCTAGCCTTCGGCGGCGAAAGAATGCCGCAGAGTCGCATTGGCGGGCGGCAGTGATTTTGAGAGTATTCAAACTCTGGAAGAAGCGCGCCCGACAGTCTGCGCTCCTCAGGGAGCAACTAGAGGCCGCCCTGAGGGGCCGGAGACACCGGTCCCTGAGCCTGGCTCTGTGGGGCTGGCGGGAGTGGGGTGTGAATAAGCGCAGGCAGCGGGAAAGGATTGCAGAGGTGGAAGTTGAGATACTGCGCAGGCGATTGGAGGCAGCGTTTGGAGCGTGGCGGGGGGAAGCCGCGAGAAAGGGGAGGAAGAGAAACGCAGTTAGGAGGGGGTTAAAGGCGGGTTATGGGCGGGTTTGGCGGCACTGGGCGTGGCGCGCCAAAGCGCGGGTGCTTCTGCGGCGGGTCTTTGCAGAGGGTGAGCGCATGTAATGTGTATCGTCCTTCTTCCCAGATAGGAGGGCACCTGAAATTGGTGTCGTTTTGTTTTGTGTTCAGACGCTGAATGCGGTTGTGTTCAGCCGGTAATTGCTTCTCTTTTGCAGATTGTTCAACGTAGACTCCCTGTCGGCCCAGTTTTTGACGCTTATTATGATCTTCTATGCGTCGCTTTTTAAATTCTTCTATGCGTCCGTAAGTCATCTTCCATGTAACGACTGTCCAGTCGCTCTGGAAATGACTGACTAGTGACGTCGTCTCAAATTTGACAACGCTGGAGCATACAGACTGACACTCAGGAGTCCCGCATTTACAGCGGAGGCCCGGTGGACTGTCGCCGCGCGCTTCCCAAGCCACCACTCGGAGTTCCAGGCCGCCCTGGTGTGCTTCGCCACCTGGCGCGCGTTCACACTCCATCGCGCCGCTGACCGCGCCGAGGCGGTGCGAACGGGCGCCGCTGACGTGTACAACCGGGCTCGTTTGCTGACCAAGGCCTTCCAGGCTTTGCGGATTCCGGTCGACGAGCACCGGGCGCAGAAAAAGGAGGAGCTGTTCCGGCGGAAAATGCTGTGGGCGTGGCGGAAGTGGGCGGAACGGAAGAAGGACGGAGCGACGGCAAGGGTTTTGGCGAGGTTCAGGGTGGCAGCTGGCGGGCGGACGGTCGGGGAGTTCAACCGGGCGCGAGTTCTGCGGGGTTTTGTGCGGGTTTGGAGGCGGGCTACGGAGGAGAAACGTGCGCGGGCGGAATCGTACCGGGCGAGAAGTTCTGTGAAAAGGGCGTTAAACGGATGGGTAAAGATTAGGGAGGAGAGTCAAGAACGGGTGGCTGTTCACACCAGAAGGTGGGAACGGGTGGAATTAGGTGGCGTGTTGAACGAGTGGAAAAAATTGGGGTTGGAGAGGAAGGAAAGGGAGCGGAAAGTTGAGGTGGGGAAAAGGAAGGTTGGACGGAGATTACAGGAGGTGGGGTTGGAAGCCTGGAAGGCTTACAGCGAAAGCAGGTAAGTCCCCGCTCTGTTTCGAGGTCTTTTGAGGTTTTCTGTTCTTGTCTTGCTCGCTCGTAATCCTTTTGCTCTGAATACTTAGGCCTTCAATGTAAGGACGCCGCAAACACTTCCTTTCCGGTGGAACGGAACAGTGAAAAGGACAAACTGACATCGGGTACCTGGGGGAAACGAGAACCCTTCAGAACCCTTGGCCTTTAAAACTGTAGTGCTCTTAAAAGCTGAAGTGTGACAGACTAGCGTGTCACGTATACGAACTCCGTTCCAACATTCGATCTTTACACTGCCCCGAACCCTTCCTGTGGGTGCTGTCTGCTCAGACCAGTAATCAGGTCCTCGTTTTGTCCGAGTTTTTGAACCCGTTCTTAGGTACTAAGCCGAAGAGCAGAGACAGAAGGGCCGGCCTTCACAGCCACGTTAGCAGAGCTGCAGGCCTGCATGTCTCCGCGGTTGAACAATCATTGGATGGGGCGAGCTGCAATTCAACGTGTTTCCTTGCAGTCCCTCCACACCAGATTCGACTCATTCACTGCACCTGGACTCTTAAGCCGCACATTGTGAGTGGCAGATTTTCAAACTCACGAAGATTCTTCAAGAAATTCGCTTTCTAGCTTCTCCTCGATTCATCTTTTTAAGCTTCCTCACGTCTGACTCCTCTGCAAACCAACTTTTGCAGGCGACACAAGCGCAGCGTCTCCCTCCTAGCGCGTAAGCACGCGTCCCTTCTCCTGAAGCGCCGCACCTTACGCTCCTGGCTGGCGCGTTTCGCGTGGAGAGACCTCAAAGAACGGGCCAATCAGCTGCGAGAGCACAGGCTCAAGCGCGCCACGTGGCGCGCTCTCATTCGCCACACGCGGGAGTCGCAGGTCGTCCGGGACTTGGTCATTGGGTCCCGCACACGGGGCTTCAGCGTGGCGACCAGCTTGCACTCCTCGCGGGCCAGAGTGTCGCTCCTTGGAAGCGGTCGGGTGACGCCTAGGTTTGGGCAAGGAACGCCCAAGTCTGGCCGGGATACGCCAAGACTTGGTCGGGCGACTCCGAGAGCTGCTCCGGGGAAGTTGAAAGCCGGGGGGGATCCCCCAAAACCTGCTCGGAAGACGTCCAATTCAGCGCTAAAAACAACAAAAAGTGATCGGAAGGAACTCACATCTGGCTGGGTCACGCCCGAGTCTGGCCAAGAGACGCCAAGCCTTGGACGGGGGACGCTGACAGCTGCTCGGGAGGGTTCGAAGATATGCCGGCAGGCCCCAAATCCTGCTCGGGAGACGCCCAATCGAGCTCCGGACAGTCCAGAGTCTGATCAGCAGAAACCCACGTCGAGTCGGGGCACGCCCAACCCAGCTCGACTTATCGAAGAATCTGGTCGGGAAGAGCTCAAGACGGCGACCAACTTCAGTGAAGGACAGGCGCTTCGGTCGGCCCGGGGCGTACCGCAAACGTCTCGGTTTGCTGCGCTGGAAGAAGGGGAGAAAAGGACGCGAAAGAGCGGGATCAGACTTCGCAAGAAAGGGTTCTCGGAAAATGTGAGCTCAGGATTGACGGCGATTGGGGTTGAGGGTCAGGGAAAGGGCAGCGGAAAGGTCACGGAGAGGCTGATCTCCGAAGGGAGAGCCGTCGACAAAGGCGGAGCTTTGCGAAGAGTTGCCGGCTCTCTGAACGGTGGACACGTGTCTCCGCGCGTTGCTCGGGTGGAATCTGAGAGTGTCAGGGCGACGTCTCGGGGGCCGTCCGAATTCGAGACGACGCTGAAGACGGACAAAGCGTCAGCAGAGGGTGAGGAGTCGGCGCTGACGTCAGCAGCGGAAGAGGGCCCGGCGCTGACGTCAGCAGGCGGTCTGCGGGAGATTGCGGGTGACGATGATGGTCTGGCTGGGTGTGCTGAGCTTCAAGAGCGGGCTGATCTAGAGACAGAGGGAAGACGACTCAGGGGGGGGGGGCGGTTAGCCCCGGAGATTTCTACTGGTTCAGATTGTATGGTGCTTGATTCACCGCAAATGGAATCCCCCAGCGCCATGGTTGCTGATTGCGAGCGAGAAGTGACCGGCAGAATGGACGTCAGGAGAGAGCCTTTCAATGAACGGTTGTCCGTGAGTGGCGAGATAGTGACGGAGGCTCGGGACGTAACGGCCGGGAGAAACGGTCCGGGGCGGAAAAGTGTTTGCGGGATCCGGAAGGAGCGCTCGGGGCAACCAGTGTCAGCACGGCACGTGGCTGCTGACGTGTCGCCTGTTGAAAGCGAAACGCTTGCAGGAACAGCTGAAAGGATAGAGGGGCCGAAGAGGGGCGGAGGTGCAGAAAGGAGGGCGAGACGGGACCCGGAATCAAACGTGGGGCGGACGGAAGCCGCTGGATCTACGCGAGTGGATGCAATTTGGGAGAGAGGCGAAGTGGGAAACAGAGGCGCAACGCTGCGTCGAGAAGAAGCGAAAGCCGGGGATAGGGGCCGGAATAGCTATCAGGCGACAGGTGGAGCCCAGAGGGAAGTAAGCGGTGGTATGCCCAGGTAAAGGAAGTCCGGAACAGCCAGCGAGCATAAACTAGGAAACGTAAGAGTGCAAAAGGCGGTGCGAAAGAGTACGGGGACGCTTGTGAGTGTCTTGGGGGAAAAGCGTCCGAAGCGGTTCTCGTATGTGGAGACAAAGGTGCGAGAGATCGCCACCGTGCGGGCCGATCAAAATAAGAGACCGAGCGTCAATGGGAAGACTTCCGGGTTTAGGAGCGAAAAGAGAGGGGCAGGGACGGGTGCGCGGACGGCGAAGAATCTTGCGGTGCTTTCGCCGCAGTCTGTGGGCGGTTTGTCGCCTTGGGAGGGAGCGGAAAGTGTGTGGTCGCCGGAGGGGATCCCTTCGAGAGGGCATGCAGTTTCAGCTGAAAGCGGGTGCCCGCCTGAACACGACGGCCCGGGGGGTTTCTGGCTCGGCACAAACGACCCTCCGGAAGATAATGGTGGGACGGAGTGGCTCAGAAACCGGGAGACATCCTTGGCGGCCGATCATCTTGACTTGGATGGAAACAGAATCCAGACTGACCAGAAGACGACAGTTTTGCCAGCAGGGGGGGACGGGAGGACACGTGGCAGCCGAACATTCGTCGAGGCCGAGCACGGTCGAGGGGCCCAGGGACGAATACAGGTACAGGAGAAGGTCGAGCTACGTGAGGGTGTTCCCCAAGAGTGGGCGGACGGATCGCGAAGGGACCGGAATGAAGCGGCGGGTGGAGCGGAAGGAGCGGACCATAGGAAGACCGCAGGAAATCTGCGGACGGCGATCTGTGACGGAGGGCGGAATCCGGGGATCCGGGAGAGCGGAATGGAGGACGGAATGGAAGGCGTCGTCTGCGCCCCAGGGGAAGTAAACTTGGTAGAATCGGGGGAGGAGACCAGTGACCGCTGCTGGGAAGAGACTGGAATGGACGACTGTCGTTTGGCCAGCGCGAGAGGGCTGGGACGTGCCAGTATCGGCAATGTACATGTGGCTACTTCTCGACAATCCGACGGACAATTTGACGGAGAGTCTAATAGACGGATTGCCGGAAATTCGGACCGACAAACGTTGGGTGATGAACAGAGGGACGCCGTGGAGTTCAGCCGGGGGGGTTATTGCACGGTGTGGGCTAGGCCCCCAAAACAAAGCGCCTCGCTTGACGAAAACGAATGTCAAGAGTGGCCGGCGATAGAATCGTTTGCTCGGCTGCTGCCGTCTTCCGGTCGCCAGGAAAGGCGGAGTGCGGCGGAGCAGGAGGGGGCCTTTTCACACCACGAGGAATGGCAGCCAGACCTTCAGTCAGCGGACGGGTGTGATGAGGCTCTGGGTGAGGACAAATTGGCGCCTTTCCGGGAGTTGAGATTGAGTGCTGACGAGGGCAGTGACCAATGGGACCGAGAATCTTGCAGCTCACAGGATGAAGGGCGAGCTGACGTCGCCGCGGTAGATGTATTGGGAAACGGTGTGGCAGGCAAGCGCACAATCGCAAAGCCGCTGAGCATTGCCGGACGCGGAAGGGTTAGCGGCAGGAGCATCCGTGATCCACCGGATGCCCCAACGGGTGTGAATGAGGAGGTTGGAGCGATAGGGGACTTTCCGTTTGGGTTGGAAACGGAAGAGCGGAAAAGCTGGTCTCTGCAAGGAGACGGTAATTGGGACGTCCGAGAACGTGGGGTTGGGGCCGGTGAGCTGCTTTCGGGGCGTCTCGAAGCGGATCGTTTCTGCGAAACGGTCGCCCCGGTTCGAAACCCCTCGACAGCTGCGGCTACCGAGGAACAAGGTCGGAGGAGAGAGGATGTGACGGCTGGGGTGGCGGTCAGGAAGAGCGCGGCGAGGTGGCCGCCTGACCGGTTGCCACGTGGCATCGCAGGATTGTCTGCGGGGGCTTTAGAAAAGGAGACGGCGGGAAAGACTCGTCACGGCAGTCTCGTGAGATGGCCTCCGGGAGCCTTTGAGAGCAGCGGGTCTCGAAGGAATTCTGGAAAAGGTTACGAGAATGGTAACGATGTTCTTCCGCCCAGTTTTGAATCCCCGGGTGCGAAGCATAGGAGGGCGAGCGCGCCTTCCGTCGCTCTAGAAGCGGCTGGGGAGACGCCAACCGGGCCGGAGCTTGTGCGGGGTTTCAGAGTTGTCGAGCCTGACTGCGCGCTGGGGCCCAGACATTGTACAAACAGTATTCCGCAAGGTAATGATGACTTACAAGCAGATTGAGACCGCATAGCTAGCGTTCCGACCTGACGGTTAGAATCCACTACTTGGAGCTTAAAGGTGTCGGGACATGGGTGTTGAGAAGCAGCACCGTCGTGATTGAGCGAGCGCGTTGGAGAGTCGCAAATTACAACCTTAACTCATGACGAGTGAGCTGGATCGTGACGTTGTCTCTGCCGGATCGTCAAATAGCAACCTGAGCGTCGTTGCATTTAAGTCCGCTGTCATGGCATAGGACTAGGAATGCATGAAATGTCCTATACATCATGGTGACCGCGTCGGTCTTGCAAAAGCCCGGGTTCAATCACGGCGGCCGTTCGAACCCTTGAAATAAGTCAATGATGGTGGGTCATGTCGGCACTCTAGGACGAATTCAGTTACGTATGCAGTGGCACTCATCATGACGGCTAGCCATGCTGGCATGTACCGGCGCGCGCCATGGCGGCCTGGCACATGCACGCGATAGCTCATGGTGCGGATTCAATACCCTTCGTCATGGCCGTGACACATATAGGCGGCTGGCTACTAGCAGCTCCGCATGTGCTCATTTTCGTTAAGACTCAGCGTCATTAATCGTGCATGCGATCGACTGCAGCCGGCGGCCCGGCTGCGGCGATGATGGATGCATCTGACGGGCAGCATTGAACAAGATACATTTGCAGTCCTGCCATGTTGATGCTTTGTACGACGTTGCCACATAGCTTATTACGTTTGACCTTGCAAGCTTCCCGTCGACCTGTTTAACAAAACCGGGAATCTAGTTGTCTACATCCAGCGACTGCTGGTTTGTCTCTGAAAACTCGTTCGGCACTTGGCAGTCGCGTCTCTTGAAACGAATCAAAACGAAACATCGCAAACGCGCTCTAATTGAAGGCAGTTGCACCACTATCATGACTGTGTCGACTTGTGACCTGACGAGGGTTTTTAAGCTACTTCTCGTACACCCACTTGTGGATGTCCAATCCGTAAGATACAAGGTCTTCGGGCGTGAACCACAGCCCAATCTCCTTCTTGGCACTGTCTGGCGAGTCGCTCCCATGGATGATGTTCCTGCAAAGTAACGGTGCGGGCGACGAGCTGACTACTTCTTCCTCACATATCAGCCTGGGAGGACTCTCTGTAGGCTTCTTACAGATGTGTAAGATAAACACTGCCTCGTCTTATTCATGTTATGAACTCCAGCTCAAAATGAAGGAGCTGAAGTCAGTGATACCAACGTCTTGAAGTCTAGTCGAAAAGGATTACTCGAGCCTCACATATAATGATTCATGAGAACTGATCCGCGAAGTTGGGGTTGGCAATCCAGTCCTGAGGATTATAGTGGCTGAATGGGATGATTCGAGCCTTGACAAATGAATAATTCATTGAAAACTGATTAGCGAAGTTGGGACTGGCGATCCAGTCCCGAAGAGCATACGCAGAGCCTTCTGGTCTCTCAGATTTTTGCACCAATTCGATAGATTTTTGGAAGGCAAACTGCGGCCATACCTGCCAACCTGGATGCCAAAGTCTCCCCTGATGGTTCCTGGCGCCGATTCCAGCGGTTTCGTCGCTCCAATCATTTTCCTCCCGTAAGTGACAACGCCCTGTCCCTCCCACACCTAAGACACGAAAGAGGTGGTTCACACGAAAACTTGACATACACTGATACTGTCAGCAAAGCTGGAGAGAGGTTACGGCAGGTTGGTCTGAAATATGAAGATGGGAATTCGGGTTTACTTTGCTTTGTCCCAATTTCTGAAGGCAGAGCTGAACAATCTGAGATTTCTGTCACAGCCTAAGCATGCCCTGAAACCCTTTTATTGTGCAGGCTTTGTTTGTGTGCGGGAAGGAATGCCTATCAAATGAACAGTTAAGATGATCAAGAGCCTCGGAGTCCTCTTACAAAGAAGTTTACCTGGACGCTCATGTCATGCCACTTTCTAATTCCAGGATAGATCGAGCAGCCCTCGGAGAGGCGGCCACAAAACGTCAAGCACGCACTCCGCAAATCTCACCATTGCAAGGACCGGCCCCGAGCTGAGGAAATCGGTAAGGCCCTCGAAGAAGGGGCGCCCCTCATGCTCTGCGTAGTGCTTTCCAGCAAACTCCTTTGTGGGGACGAGGATCTTGACTGCCACCAGCTTGTAGCCTTTCCTCTCAAAGCGGGCGATGATGTCAGCGATCTGCAACAGAGACCGATGAAGTGCCGTGATTGGACAGCCGTGGAGGAAGTATAGGTGCACAATGGAATGCACACTGGAAAGAGTTTTCTTGGCTTCCATTCACTGCAAATTTTCGTTTCTCTGGCTTCTGCGTGTCAGCAACAAACTGGACGAACTAACAAAACTAGAGAACCAATCTGGTGCAAAACGTTGATCAGAACGTACTAAGATCCTCAATCACTAAGTCTAGTGGATCGGTGAACCGATTGACTGGGTGTCAGCATACTGCCATAACTGGTGGACTCACCAGTCCCCTCTGCACTCCATCAGGCTTGATTGCAATGAAGGTCCTTTCAGCCTGTAGAACCATCAAAATTAGTCGTCATTGATTGACTCATGCAACAATCGGCGTAAAGAGAGAGTTGATAGAAGCTGCAAAGAATCTCCAAGGATGTTTGATTCAGTCTGCTCTTCAGGTCGTTGATCACAAGAAGGAAGACAGATCCAGGCCTTGCTACTTCAAAGCAGATAAAGTAAAGTGGTCCTCACCTCCTCTGCGCTCACTGTACCACTGCCCACAAAAGCTGCATTGAGAACACTTCCGCTTCAGAGTACTGTTCACTTTGCCGGGATGAGATGGACACTAAAGTGCATACTTTGATACTACACAAGCCAAAGGCTCTGGCCACAGGTTGCATCAGTGGCACCACTCGCTGGGCGGCCGCACTGGCCAACATCATCCAATCCAAGCGGAGCTTGTGCGCTGATGAGTGCACATTCGGAGTGGTTGCGTTGGGCGCACCTGCAACTGCTGCTGTTGCCGCCAACCAGTTCCCCCGGCGCGCTCCTTGTGAGCCATTGCATGCTTGATGCACCACTGCCCTTACTGCGGGGCCCTGGCTGAGCGCACCACATGCAACGCTTCTGCCTGCAGTCGCCAACCAAATCTGCATATGAGATTGTTGAAATATCAAGATATCATATCACAACCTACTGTTCGAACCTAGCAGACTTCTATGTTGATTGCTAACCGTGCAACTCATCCATTCAAATCCTGGAAATACATGCCCCACTCCTGATTGATGCATCCTTTCAGCCAGCGCTGCATTCGTCGCGGGTGCAAACATTGTTCAAGCGCACCTGCATTCGGACGGCCCATCCTTGTTAGCGCAGAGCGCCAGGCGGCTCTCATCGCTTGAGTCCTCATGATTGACTAGAAATGCTGATGGTGGAACGAGTGGTGGAAGGTTTCAGCACGATTCGTGCACTAATAAGCAGTCCTCCACCACCTTTTGGCAGTGGCGAAGTCCGTTGTGCTTGAAAGAAGCAGTGATTGATCTGCTCATGCAATGCTGCCTGCCAAATGGCAATTAATGCTCCTGGTGACCGTCACCAGGGGCACTGGCAACTGCGCCACCCTGCAAATCTTTGTACGCACTGACGCACAGCCGACCGTCGATCGTAATAACCCCTCTTGGTTTGTCGTCCGATTTGCTTTCACGTGATAGAAATCTAGCCTGGTCGATCCAGGATGTACTTATGCCATGAGAAGAGAACATCCAGGATGTACTTATATGCCATGAGAAGCCTATTAAGGCTATGGCCCTACTGGCTGCGGCGTATTTGAAAAGAGACCATCATCTGAGGTATAACCAGGATAATTAACCCTTTAACAGCGGCTGTTGCCTTTTGTTGCCTTTCGCAACAACATAC